TGCATGCAATGCACAAAGGTCTGATGCTGCCGTTTTCGAGTCTTCACAATCAACGACCTGACACGATCTGATGTTGAAGAGTGTAGTCACTGCCAGCCCCGACCGGCTGGACTTGCTTAGTCCTGGCGAGAGGGCAAACGTTCACAAGCCTACTCAGAACTTCCAGAGAGTCGTCACTCGACGTGAGGGCATGGTACGTCGTTCGAGAACGGGGATGCGAGTTAGACTCGTGTTGAGAACGACGGGGGAGAGGCTCTCAGGGGGTTCGACCCCAGATCAGGCTGGACGAGTGCTGTCTCGAGATTGCATCTGCCATTGCCTGGCGCACACAATCCCCGAGAAACGGCTTGTGTCCAAGGAGATGTCTCTTGACATCATGCCATGGTAGGACATTGATAATTGGAGATATAACGTGTTTGCATCGAGAGGCTTTGCACCTTCAAGTGCCCTGGCAAATTGGGACTCTGGTGGAAGGAGACTCGATGTCTACTTCCATGGCATGTTTTCCGATATTGCCAGTATCTCCACTGCCTTGCTCGCGCCTGGGCTATTGAGATGGTTGATGGGATGCTTGTGCAGCTGCGACACTTCGGGATGAAGAAGTTGCATTGTGAACATGGCACACACTTGCTGCAGGACCGCCACAGTCGAAGGCTACAAATGTCCATTTCGCAACCCATGAATGATCGCAGTATCCCCATTGCTCCGTGTTCTTCCATGGGCGACTGTAGGCTGTCGAGCATCTAGTATGGTCCAAATCGTCGGGCATGCAGAACGTTTGGACTGCTGCATCCTCATCAAGCGTTTTGAAACGAATCGATCCGGTTGACGACGTAGTAAGATGGAGAAGAGAACGGGTAAGATATATTGAACAATAGGAGACTTTGATAGGTGGTATCTATGTATAAACGCCTTGCCCATCAGCCCAAGTGGCTGAAGCAGCAACAAGGTACGTCCAAGTCATTTTTGGAAGAGGAAATTAGAAATTAGAACTCCAACAAGCAAAGGCAGCAGCGAGTAGCAAGGTAAGGATCGTGAGTGATGTTTCTGCCAGATGTTTTGCTCTTTCCCCAAAGACATTACAATCATGAGAAGGCTATAGATGACGAGGATGTCTCGTCAATCTATGCACGCCAGCCGTAGCCCGTAGCCGAGGGAGCGGCGGAGCTCGTGGGAGCTGCGGAGCTCGTTGGGCATTGTCCGCTCACAGTGATGGTGCTTGCGGTCGCGGTGGCCCACTCAGTGACGGGCTTGGCGGTCTGGGTGATGACGATCGAGCGGGTCTCGTAGATGGTGGTTGGGGATGCCTTGGCCGTTACGGTGGTTGGGTAGGCTGGGGCGGCCTCTGCAGTCTTCGTGACGGTGACAGTGGACGCACCGCCGTAGCCCTGAGGAGCCTTCTCGGTGACGGTCTCGTACTCAGTGGTGGCCTTGCCTGGCTTGTAGGCAGTCAAGGTAGAGTACTGGGTGATCGTCTGGTTCTGAGGAGAGACAGGGCTCTCGGGCGTGCACGAAGCAGAGGCGGTCCAGGTGATCGTGGTTGGCTTGCCGGAGGCCGTAGCAGTCTCGTACTTGGTGATGGTCTGGTTCTGGGCAGCTGGGGCGCTGGCAGAGATGGTAGAGACCTTGGTCACGTAGGAGGTCTGAGCTGGAGCAGTGGCAGTAGCCGTGATAGTGATGCTGGAAGGTTGTTAGTTGTTGAGCCGTGAAGACGTGGTTGAGCGCACTTACGTCTGGTTCTTTGGTGGGGAGACAGGGCTCTCAGGAGTGCACGAAGCCGAGACAGTCGAGACGATCGTGGTTGGCTTGTACTTGGTGACCTCAGCGGTTGCGGTCACGTTCTCAAACTCGACAGATGTTGCGGTCTTATAGATCGTCTTGCCTGGAGCAGTAGAGATCTGGGTAATCGTGACATCTTCAGTCGAAGTCTGGTAGACGGTGCTTGGGGCCTAAAGGACAATTAGCTGTAATGTGGATTGCATCTACCGCTTTGACTTACCTGAGTCTGGGTCGACACAACAGTGATTGGCTTGGTGTAGGTCTCGACTTTGGGGGAGTTAGCACATGCCTACGAGATCAGATATATCGATGTACATACCCTCAGTTGACACAACGGTTGATGGGGCCAGAGTTGAGGTGATAACAGACGTGACAGGCTTGGTGTGTGTTTCCGCTGTACAGATGTTAGCTTGAGCTTGTTGATTGTCCCACAATCTCGACATACTCTCAATGCTAGTCAGGGTGGATGGAGCAAGAGTAGAGGTCTTATATTCCGTGATCGCCTTCGTCTTTGTTTCGGCTAGATATCTAGTCAGCATTTGGTCAGATCAATGGGCAAAATGTTCGCATACTTTCAATCGAGGTGTAAGTTGATGGCGCAAGCGTAGTGGTGGTCGTTTGGGTCACTGGCTTCGTGTATGTTTCGACTAAAGGAGGCTGTCAGCAAACAAACAAGTTGCAACCAGGTGGCTGAAGTGGAAGATTGATAGGAGAAAGGTGTCCCTGGAAGGCGCACGCTTGGACATCGAACCCATACGAACGTGGACCGACGGAGTCCATCTCCAAATATCATTGGGAGATAAAGAGATTGCTCGCCTCGTTAAATGCACGAGTAATTGGCCTCTTATATTGTGCAAGGCCGAAGTGCGAGGTTGTGAAAAGGGTAATCCCCGCACGGGACATCTTGCGGGGGAGGGCCGAAGCGATCTCTTGGCAAGCCGGAGGGGTTGGGGGGGTCAGATGAAAATGTTGATGGCAGAACTTACCGCATGTCGATGTAACGGTCGAAGGCGCATTCGTCTTAGTAGTCGTGCTCGTCAGGACAGTCGAGTGAGTCTCGGCTAGAGGATATTAGATCAATGCCACGCAGGATTGTAGCGATTTGCTTACTCTCAGTGGAAACGATGGTGCTTGGCGCAATGGTTTGTGTCGTTGTCGAGTATACTGGCTTCGTGACTGTTTCATACTCTGTTGAAACGGATGTCTGTGCAGGCAGCGTAGTGGTCTCTTTGACGACAGACGTTGATGGCGCAGCGGTAGACCTGCGGTTGACTTAGCAATATGAATGGCATGCGAGAAAGGCTTTGTGGCTTACGTGATGGTTGTCGTGTACTCCTTGGAGATCGTGGTAGTTTCCTCGACCGTCGAAGCAGCCTGGTAGTACGTTGAGGTAATCGTTTGCGCTGGGAGAGTCTGTGTGGCGGTCTCAATTTCGACGCTGTGCTCTGTGCTTGTTTCCGTAAGAGTGGTTGGCGCTGCAGTCGAGGTGAGCTACCCAAGGGTTAGCGAACAATCGAAAGGGCATCAGGGGTAAATTTCATACGGTTGTGGTGTACTCCGAAGTGATCGAAATGGTGCTGTACTCCGTCTTCGCGGGAATAGTTGACGTAACAACCACTGTTTGGGGAGGTCTAAGCATGTGGTTAGTGAAAGAACTTGTGATTTCGCTCGATGCCCATCGGGCCTTGTGCTTACCCAGCAGGAATTGTAGAAGTAGACACAATGGTCGAAATATAAGATTCAGTCACCTCTTTCGTTGAAACGACAGTACTGGCCGGCAGGCTTGTCGTGATAACTTTGGTGGTTGGGGCTTGGACCTCAGTGGAGGTAGTAGTGTACTCGCTGGTAATCACCTTTGTTTCGTATTCGGTGTGCGCTAGACCACGAAAAGGGTCAGCCAGGTGGATCCAACATGATGTCAAGGGGCTCCAAGCATCCGAGGGACGAATGAGCCCAAGTGCTCCCCCATCCGCCACCTCGAACAGGAAGTGGGTATTAGATGGAGGGGCAATCAAAGCAACATACCTGGCGCAGTGGAAACACTGGTGATGGTTGTTCCGGGGGCAGACTTGGTAACAACAACGGTCTGGGGTGGGCCAGCAGGGATGGTCGAGTATTGAATGACCGTCTTTGGCGCTTGAACCTCAGTGGATGTGGTGGTATACTCGCTGGTGATAACTTTCGTTTCATATTCCATGTGTGCTGAAGAGCGAGATGTTAGCTGGTCGATGTCGAGATATCGCGCTAGGGTTCGGGGTGTGGGAAGGGTTCATGTGCTCCAAGATTGACAGAGAGCTTCTCCGGGATCAATCGTAGCTAGGAAATGCTTGCATGAGTATACAAGCACCAAGGGAATCTTACCTGGTGCGGTGGAGACACTGGTGATCGTGGTGCCTTACTTTGAGTCAGTAAAAGATCAGGATTGTATGCTAGGATCGTCTCTAACTCACCAGGAAGCGTCTTCGTAACAACCTCTGTCTGCGGCGGGCCGGCAGGAATGGTGGAGTAAGAAGTGACCGTGGTTCCTTGATGTTGTTAGCCAGAACCCCAAAGCGTTCTCCAGCATACTACCGACCTGGTGCAGTGACAACCGATGTGGCCGTGGCGGTTTTAGTATTGTAGATTGTGGAATACTCAACCTCAGTCTCCTCAGCAGTGGAGATGACAGTTGGGCCAGACACAGTGGCGTATTGCGTAGCGTAGTGAGTGACGGTGGATGCTGGGCTGACAGGGCAGACCGGAGCAGATGGAGTGGCAGTAACAGTCTGGTTCTTCCAGAGGTAGGTGGTGAACTCCTCTTCCTTCGTAATGGTTGCAGTAGATCCTGAGCCGGAAATGGTCAGAGTAGAAGCAGAGATCGTAATGGTGCTTGCATTGGCGGGCTTGTACGAGGTTACTGTGGAGGCTTCAGCAGACACAGTCACGGTCTGAGCAGCGCCAGGGATCGTGACAGTCGATGTTTTCTGAGTCTCGGTGACAGTTGATGCGGCGCAGGTCGACGTCGAGCCGTACACTGGCGCGCTGTGGGATGGAGTGGGGCTGTATGATTCTGCGGATGAGGAAGACGAAGACGAAGAAGAGCTCCAGGCGCTCGATGACTCTTGGCCGTAACCCGGTGCTCCTGGTGCAGAGGAAGTTTCACTGCTGCCATATCCAGGTGGGAAGATGCCACGCTTTTCGTCGCGGTTCCATGGAGATGCGACTGCTGCAGAGACGCAGAGGGCGCCGACGAGGAATTGAAGCTTAGCCATTGCGAGAAAATCGGCTTGGTTAAAAAAGAAGATAAAGAAAAAATTAGTAGGCTCTTTGCATGCAACGAGTGACGCACCAAAAGAGCGTAAAGAAAAAGCGAGTGTGTAGTAGTAGGAAGAAGTCACAACAAAGGTGAGGAGCGAAGAACCTCTGAAGACCAGACGGAGGAAGAGGAAGCAAGGAACAGGTGCATCTACCTACTTGTACTTTGACTTCAACGGGCAACTGTCGACGCTTTCCTGTGCACGGCAGTGGCGGCACGTTGTTGCGCATAGCGAAGAGGAGGCAGAGGCTGTGGGGCGTATGCATTTTGGGAGGCGGACGACGAGATGTTCGTGTGGAGGGAGTGACCTCGTACGGCCAAGAATAACCGTGATCTGAAGATCTTCATAGCAACATCTCAGAGAGGCCCGAGCGGAGAGACAATAGCAGAGTTTACTCGAGTAGCGCAACGGCCGGCTAATCCCAAGAAAGCATCTGCGAGACGCTGTCAGCGGTGGGATTGGTCAGGGAGGGAGAAAAGGCACATCGTCGACACGAGCAGCATGGCCAGCTCAGACGTGCGCATGATACAGCAGTGCATACCATTGCTACGTGGTGTGGAAGACGAGAGTGTAGTGCATGCAGGCAGGATGCAGCAGTTCTCGTGGTACATCTTGGGTACCAAACACCGGTATCGACGGCTCGTGGGCTGCATAAGATATTGCACATCCCCGCCCTGCTCCGATGTGAATACGGCTCAGCAGTTTGTCAGCTCCAAACATCGCCGTCTTCAACCAGAAGCCCACGCAGAAGAAGACGTGTCGTTGAAAGCCCAGGGGAGCCGGGCTTGGCATTTTGCGCGTTAGACTTCGAGCGGCGCCGCGCTAAGGGGCATGATCTTCGCGGCATCTGCAGGAACCCGCTCGCTACAACATCGACACCTCGTCCTGTTCTTCCGGTCCCGCGCGGCAACACCACGAACATGTTCGGCAGACGACAATGAGCCAGAAGCACGTGTACGGTGTACGTGTGTTGCTTGGGAGAGACCTCGTGCCCAGAAGAACGCGTTACACACCAAAGCTGTGCGACGCCAGCCATCTCAGCATGCATCTACAGCACCCTCCACCTGATGAGCTCTTGCTCGCCTGGGGGATGATGAGTGCGTTTGAGAACAAAGACACCCGTCCGGTCGGCGATTTCCTGCGAACATGCGAAGCTCGATCAAGGATGCGCTTGCGAGCAGAACTTGCGCCTTTCCCAAGACCAAGTCGGACCAAACGCCGTCGATCAGCATTATCCAGCCAGACCTTAAGCTTCAGCCCCTTGGTCTCCTACCAACGTCCAATCACGTCTTCTCCAAGTTTAGAATACTGGAACCTCACGCTATGAATCTCTTCCCGACGGCACCCTTTTCCACACGACTCTCATCACATCTCGCGCGTCGCACGCGTGTCTGGCGCAATAACGTCGTCTCAACAGCAAATGTCCGGCATCAATCGTACTGAGCCCGATCTATAGGGTCTTGTCAAGATGATCGGCGCCCTATAACATTTTGGCTCCTCGTACTTTGTGGCGCTCCCGATGAACTATATATGCTTTCATCTCCTCCTGGATGCCTTACTTATTTCGCAAGCCCAGGGCGGACGTTACGAAGTCTTTCGGCTGCGGCGTTCGCTTCGACAGAAGGCTGGCGTTTCATCGTGATTCTTCATCCCCGGTGATGACTACATCACAGAAATGCCACAACGTGGCTCCGATGCTTGCGCAAGGTGTTGCTCCTATTAGTAAATAAAGGAGCTTCCTCCATAATCTCGGATGAAGGGGCATCTGTCGGCAACGTTCGTTTGACGATGCTTCGCAGGCGGCCTGGAAATCCGGTCTGGTGAGGAAGCGGCTGCATGACGGAATGATTGTGACACGGCAGAAGCACGCCTTTACCTCATGGAATACGACACGCAGGTTGCATCGCACGTTGAGAACAACAAGTTATCGTCGCGAAGACTCTCGGGTACCAGCAGTGCCTATTGCAGGTTTCAAGTCATTGTTGCCAACTTATATCAACGACAAGTTCGACTTGGCACTGCATTCCCACAAGCATACCGTTCAGCCCGGTCGACTGCAGGTACTGAACAGCTACAACATCGGGCACAAGGCGACATTAGAAGCTCACTGCTGTTCCTGCTTCTGGCGAACACAGCGCACGCAGCATGTATTGACACCTTCAACCATCTTTCCCGTCACCTGGAGTATCCTTCACCGCATGGACGAACCACTGGATTCTTGGTCTGACGTACCTCCGATGGCTGGAGGCCGCATTTTCGAACACGAGACGACCTGTTTATGAAGTAGCATCGCTGCATGGTCACGCCACAGCTACACGGGCAACGTCTGGACGCATGCCTTGCCATGAGCTGTCCAAGGCAGCAACTACATTGACAGGTGGTTACTCGTGATCACGTCAATGGCTTCGGGTTCACCAGCCATGGAACGCAAAACGAATTCGTACCTGAACTCTGGACAATGTCGCCCTTTGCAACTCTCGCAAGAGGGACACGATGGTCGGGTGATGGTCCACGGCATCACTTTTCATACATTCTCGAAGCACGACAATTCATGCAGTCCGGTCATTTGACAGGAGTGGTGCTTGGTGGTGAGATCACGCCACTACACTCTCGTCGAGGGCTGGAACTCACTGCTTTAGAGATGAGTGTACCTCACTGACGTGATCCTTCAGCGACATTGATCCATCGAATCTCGATAACGTGTTCTTGATGCAAGTCTTGCTTTGAAGCAGCGAGTCGGGCACATCATGCCAGGTTCGTTCACATTCGATCTATCTCTCCAGATCATCTGACGCCATGGACTACCAGGTCTCCTGCTTGTACCTCCCTCCCTTCTCCATCCGGCCCAGATACGCCTCTGCATTCTCCGCACTCAGACCACCGGAATGCTCGACGATCGCATCCAAAATGGCTTGCCTTACACCTTTGGGCATATTGCCAGAGGACCCGCAAACGTACACCTTTCCGTCATGGTTCAGGAGAGCATCGCAAACATCGCTTCCTTGTGCACGGATTTGATCCTGAACGTACTGTCTTGCCTTGTTCTTATCCCTCGAGAATGCTGTGAACACGCTCAGGCCTTCGTTTGTGCCAAGCCTCTCCCATTCATCGTGGAAGAAGTGGTCGGCATTCTCTGCTCGACAGCCGAAGAAGAGGACATCGCCGTCGAGAGCTTTACTGCGCCCCGCTACGCCCTGTTGACCAGCCCATTGCACTCGCTCATGAATCATTGACCTCATAGGCGCCAAACCAGTACCCGGTCCGATCATGATGACTGGGACTTGCAGCTCCGTCGGCTGCACATCGAGATACCCTTGCTGGATGCCGATGTTGATATGCTGATGCTCTTGCAAGCTGGTAATGTATCTGGTGCAGACGCCATACCGCCTTCGCCACTTGATAATCGGGCTGGGTGGATCGACAATGGCGATCAGAAGCTGGATTCGTGTTCGACCTTGTTCATCCTGCTTAAGTGCTCCACCACTTGCGATGCTGAACTGTCGCCCTCGCATGATGGGCAGTACAGACAATGCGTACTCCCAGGGTATCTTGATTGTCGTGAAGTCCATCATGACCTCGAGGATCGTTCGCTTGGGACGAGTTGTGTAGTCCCAAAGCTCGTCGATGAGTTCCGGGTTTGCGAGCTCTAAGAGTCTCTCCTTCTGGTAAGCTTCGTCTTCGTTGCTCTCTCCTGCAAAATGTGCGAGCTCGGCGAAAAATGTCCTGCGAGGTATCGACATGATGTCGAGAACATTCTCCAGCAGCCATCTTAACGTCAAGCTTACGCTCGTGAGGTCGAGATGTCGAAGCGGAGACGGTATTAAAGGAGAATGAATCTTGCCAGACGGTGAGATGGTTGTCACCAGGTCCAGTGGTTTGTCTGCTATTTCTTCCCAGTTCATGAGCTTGATGAAGCTTTCGATGTCTTCTGGGAAGTTCTTGGGATGAATCACTGCCACAGCGCCGGGTCCGTATGGTACGTCTTCCTCCACTCGAAGATCAAGCAACCTCACATCTTGGAAGTGGTCTTTGGCCGTGATACGATCGTTGCGTTCGATGTGGGCTTTGTGCGAATTCTTCAGAGGCAGCAAGTCAGAAGAAGGTACTTCACCAAGGCTATCAGCAATACTTGGTCCCGCCACGCCATTAGTCTCCTTATCAGACAGCACCAGCTTCCACTTCGGCTCAACAAAGAGGTCATCGGGAAGCGGCTCCAGTCCGTCTGCAAGCGGGAAAACTTCTGCAAGCCTCTGCTTGAGTTTGACAATCCACTCCCTGAAACCCGCACTGTGACCCTCTGGATGCTGTTCGTTGCCTTCACCACGTTCGCAGAAAGAGTCGGCGCCGAGCTGTACCAACCGTCCGTGCAGCATTCGATGGGCCACGTTATAATGAGCGTATGAGCTGTCACCGAGTCCGAACGAGGAGAAATGCAGCTTTCGAAGGATCCCAGGCTTCAACGCACCGCTGAGCAAAGTCTTCCAGAACTTCCGGGCATTCTGGGGCATCTCACCCTGACCGGTCGTAGACAGGGCGAATATGACCACTGTCGGTTGGACGACATCTCGCAGTTGGATGGAATCGAGATCCAAGACAGTCGTTTCAAAACGCAATCTTTCGGTCATTCGACCAATCTCTTCAGCTACATCTTGAGCGTTGCCAGTCTCTGATCCGTAGAGGATCAGGGCAGTACGGGGAATTGATTCTTTCGCCTGCCTGAAATGGAATTGAATCAGAACCTGTATACGAGAGATAAACGAAAGATGAATATATCACGTGTTCAGAGACACAAGATGGAAAGAGTGGCCGGCATACCGTGCATGTTGCCCGCCATTTCCTTCATTCCTCGTTGCTGCCCCCTCATTCTGGCCGGCCCTTTTCATTGATGGCGTGGTGCTTCACGAGCAGCATCGAGACGTGGGTGTCTGTCTGTCTGTTGACTAGCACAAGCGGCGCCGGAGAGATCAGGTGCGCAGCGGTGGCGAATGGGGTGGATGGCAGGCAATTTTCAGGACATCATGGCCTTCACCAGCGAGCAGTCGATGTCGTGTGATCAGCCGCTGATTGGTGGTCGCTTCCGGACGGGGAAGAGCCAGGGACCCATGCCGCCAAGACCGAAATTCTGGCTTCAGTAGCAGCTACGTTCGAGATTGACTCCCTTTTCCTTCCAACAACACAGTCAATCCAGTTCAACCACCACATCAACCCCCCAAACACACTCGGATCTTGGCCACGTAGCTAGCCACCAACTCTCCGTACGTATCCACACCCTCCTCGGCGCGCTGCTGACGCGGGCGCATCCTGGCGACGGGCAGCACGACTGACATGTGAGCAGCTCGACAACTCTCTGTTTCCACCAGCATTCGGCGGACCAGACCAGACATTCAGTTTCCTTAATCACCACACGAAGTACTTCCAGCCAACGAAGTACTCCAACCCGCTACAACCAAGTCCAGTACACTTCGTGTCATCAACCAGCCTAAACTATGTCTGCCGACGCTGCCACCGCCCAAACGGCGAACACCACCCTCAATGAGCCCACCGGCACCGCTGAAGGCGCCAGCATCGGTGCTGGCGGCGACAAGCCGATCAACGCCTCGCAGAACGAGGCCGTCATCGCCAGCGCCGCTGAGGGCAGGAGACTTTACATTGGAAACCTCGCTTACGCGACCACCGAGGGAGAGTTGAAGGAGTTCTTCAAGGACTACCTTGTGTATGTTTGCACTTGCCGCCCGTGGCATGGAAAGAGCAGTGACTGATTGATATCGTAGCGAAACCACATCTATCCCAACCAACCCACGCACGACTCGCCCAGTTGGATACGCCTTTGTTGACGTATCCACTCCTTCCGAAGCTGAGCGTGCCATCAACGAGCTGAACGGCAAGAGCATCCTCGACCGCAAGGTCTCTGTGCAGCTCGCCCGCAAGCCAGAGCCTGCCGCCGAAGCTGGCCAGGACAAGGCCGAGTCCGGCGAGGGTCAACAGCGTCGCCGCGGATCGACCCGTGGTCGTGGTCGCGGCCGCGGACGTGGAGGTCGCGCTGCTCGTGGTGGCCGCAACGGACGCAAGGATGCGAACGGGGAGGAAATCACCACCAACGGCGGCCCAACTAACGTTCCAGGCCAGGCTGCTCCTCTGACGTCCACCACCAATGAGGCACTCTCTGGCGAAGCTGGCGAGCCCGGCACCATCGACGCCAAGGGCGCTGGTAAGACTGACGCGAACCGCCCCCGCAAGCAGCGCGGCCCACCAGAGGATGGCGTCCCAAGCAAGACGAAGATCATGGTTGCCAACCTGCCTTACGATCTTCGTGAAGAGAAGGTAAGCTCACCTCTATTCAACTCCTTTGTTCATCTGCTGACAGACCCCACAGCTGCTTGAGATCTTCGCCGACTACTCACCCACCTCCGCCAAGATTGCCCTCCGCCCGATCCCCAAGTTCATGGTCCGCAAGCTTCAGGCCCGCAACGAGCCACGCAAAGGCCGTGGCTTTGGTTTTGTGACGCTCGCTAGTGAGGAGCTGCAACAGAAGGCATGCAACGACATGAACGGCAAGGAGATTGAGGGACGCGAGATCGCCGTTAAGGTCGCGATTGATAGCCCAGGAAAGGAGGACGATGACCCGAATGCACCACTCGAGGGCGAGCCAGACGTGGACGCTGAGCCATCCACCGCTGAGGGCTCCGCCAACGTCAACACTGCTACTGCTTAAGTGACCAGCACAAACCCACCACTCATTCACCAAGTCTGCCAAGCACATCTCACGATCGACTCTGTCTGCGAGTGGCCGTCTCAAGTTGGCTTATCTGGCATGAGCTACACTTCAGCATAGGCTCGTTGCGGGTATTGGGTTGATTGCGGGAGTGAACAGCGGACGAAAAGTACACTCAATGAACGTATCGATCTACGCGCATTGTGGTCTTACTATTCTGCAAGAAGCTGTATTCGACGATGTACTTTAAGATCCGAAAAGAATTGATGTCAAACCGGAATCCTGTCGTCCCTTTTTCATTGCTCGTGTGTCGTTGTGATCTTACACTTTTTATTTCCTTGTCTTGTGACATCCATGTCCGTCCTCGGCTACCCACACGCTTGAACCTCGAGTAGCCGAGCCGAGATCGCATCGCAAAGCTGTTGACGTCTTGTGCCAGACCACCTCCACTGCCACCACACCAACCCACTTGTTGCAGCAATTGGAAGCAGGTATGGCGACGAAATTGAGGATCTTGGTCCCGGTCAAACGGGTGATTGACTATGCTGTGAGCTGGTTCCCAATGCCTCACCATGGATCCCAAAGCTAACGTGCAACCTCCAAGGTCAAACCGCGAGTCAACAAGGCGCAAACCGGCGTCGAGACCAACGTCAAGCACAGCATGAACCCATTCGACGAACTCTCAATCGAAGAAGCCGTCCGTCTCCGCGAGAAGGAAAAGCCCGTCGAAGACATCCTCGCCTTCTCCGCCGGACCCGCCAAGTCCCAGGACATCCTCCGCACAGCCATGGCGATGGGCGCCGATCGCGGAATACACGTCGTGGAGGAGAAGCAAGAGATGGAGCCGTTGGGCGTGGCGAAACTGCTGAAAAAGGTGGTCGAGCAAGAGGATAGGAATCTGGTGATTCTCGGCAAACAAAGCATCGACGACGACGCCAACCAGACGGGCCAGATGCTCGCGGGCCTCCTCAACTGGCCGCAAGCCACGCAGGCCTCGCAGGTCGACATCGACGGCGACACGTGCACCGTCACGCGCGAGGTCGATGGGGGCGTGGAGACGCTCCGGGCGAAGCTGCCCATGATCATCACGACGGATCTGCGGTTGAATGAGCCAAGATATGCGAGTCTGCCGAATATTATGAAGGCGAAGAAGAAGCCGCTGGAGAAGAAGACGTTGGCGGATTTTGGCGTCGATGGCGAGAAGAGGCTGAAGACGGTCAAGGTTGCGGAGCCGCCGGCTCGGCAGGGCGGTGGGAAGGTGGAGGATGTGGATGGGATGATTGGGAAGTTGAAGGAGTTGGGGGCTCTATAAAGGTGAAGAAGAGATGCTGTGTTGGCGCTCTCTGCGATGGTGCTGGGAACAGTGGATATGGTAAGAGCTCTCGAAGTGTCAAGGAGCAATGAAGTTGAAGATAGATCTATCAGGCTGGATTTCAGAACCTGTCGAGCAGTGTGTACAGAAAGATGATTTACTGCGTTACAGCAAGATTATCGGCCGGCTTGGCTACCAGGTTGTTTGCCCGTCGTCATGACGATCTTCGAAAACTCGTGTGGTCCTTCTTTCTCAAGCCATCTCTGACACGGTACAGTGAAGTATGCAAGCAGCACATCACGCATTGGCACAGCCTTTGCGTGCCTCGACAGAGAAAGCGTCGAAAACCGCCCATCCAACTTCTCGAAATCACAGCTTGACAGTGACCGCCAGTCCATCCCGAAGAGAACCTGACCAAGAAAACAACACCAAGAAGAATGACCAACAAGGAACCCACAACGGCATCCTCTCCAAAGCAATCACCCCCTCCGCCCTCGAAGAACTCCAAGCCAGCACCCGCCTCCTCCACGACGAACTTCGAAAACACAACATTCCCATGCCGAATGCGGCGTCCGGTACCATCCCCTCTTCCCCCAAATGAAACTTATTCAACTAAAAGCCATCGCAGTGTTGGAGAAATCCTCGAAAAAGCACCTTCAAACGGCCCTCACGGAGAGTAAGTTGTTACGGATGAGGCATGGTGTGCAGGAGCTTTTGAGGGTTGCGAGGGAGGACGGTGGGGAGGATGGGGAGGTGTTGGGGGCTTATTGTGAGAGGAATGGGGAGGAGTTGAGGAGGGTTTTGGAGGGGGGTTGATGGTGGTGAGATGTGAGATGCTATGCGTGAGGAAGGATAGATAGACGGCTTCGGTGAGAGATAGGTTCAAGGTATACTTTGCCTGACACCGAGCCGCGTCTTTATACCATCCCCACAGCAACCCCCTCCCTCTTCCAAACCCTCCCATCCTTCATCACAAACCCCACCCTCCTCAACGCCCCAACATCCTCCCTAACATCCCCGTCCAACGCCACAATATCCGCCGCGCAACCCTCTTCCCACCACCCGAATCTTTTTCCACACCAATCCCCTCCGCAAGCCTCCCACCCCGTCAACGTAGCCGCGAGTAAGACCTCCTCGAGCGGAACACCTGCTTTGAGCATGAGTTCCATCTCCCGGACGTTTTCTCCATGTGGGAAAGCGCCCGTGTCGCCTCCACAGGCGAGTTTGACGCCGTAGTCGTAGGCTGTTTTGACTTGTTTCAGAATATGTGATCTTCGCTCATCACCTGGCGGTAATTCGCTATCGAAGACGGCAATAGTAGGCACCCAAATGACGCCGTTCTTCTTCATCATCGCCATAGCATCCGTGCCATCCATCGGCTCCGGCCCATGCTCGATAGTCGTCACGCCCGCTCTCGCCGCCATCATCACGGCTTCGGCGCTCTGCGCGTGAGCAGCTACGGGAGCACGAGCGGCTTTCGCTTCCTGGACCATTTCATCCATCTCATCCTGTCGGAAGAGGAGAAGATTCGGGTTTCGCTGATTATAGATCCCAGACGGCCCGCTCGTCTCAGGCGGTGGGAAGTGAATATCCGGACAACCCGGATACGCAGGCGCTGGGAATCGCAGAGTCCGTTTCCGGTAATCAGCATAGAACTTGATAATGTCTGCTCCAGCAGCGAGACGTCTCCGAACGCCGGCTCGGACGCCCGGCACGCCGTCGCAAGGGTCTGAGATGCGTGGCGTGAAGGTCCCGCCGATGACATTCTCCTGGCGGACTTCGTAGCCTCCTGATGAAGCCAGGCACTCCGTCGCGCAGAAGATCCTCGGACCGGGAATTAAGCCGCGGTTGACGGCGTCTCGTACGTGGACATCTGCGTCCTGAGCGCCTTCGGTTCCTAGGTCACGATAGGTCGTGTAGCCCGCGAGCAGAGCAGTCCGGCAGTGGTTGGTAGCTCGGATGGTTCGTTCGATGATGCTTTCATCGCGCATTTGGTAAATCGAAGATGCCTCTTTGTAAGAATGAAGGAAGATATGTGTGTGCGCGTCTACGAGGCCGGGTAAAACGCATTTGCCGCGGAGGTCGATGTCATTGCTTGCAATGACGATTTCATAGTCGGTTTCTCGTTGGTATACCTTTGTGATTAGACCAGTAGTGGGATTCACGTCGATTGACGTGTCTTTCACGAACTTCTTCTGCTTGGGGTCAAACAGGCAGTCTGTGTGAATCGTGAACGTATCTCGCGTCTTGAGCTTGAGGGACATCGCTGCTCAAAGAAGAGTCAGTAAGAGAGGTTGAAAAAGTGAAGGCAGGTCGAGGGCGCCAGGTTGGTAGACTACGAGAGTATAAGAGTAGGAATATCAAAAGTAATGAAGTAGAGGTGAAGTCGAGGGCTGGGAAGGATCATCCCGAACGCCGTACCTGCAGATCGGGATAGGACCTGGAACTAGATCGGGTTCTTGCTGTGCAAGGGGTCTGTTTTACAGGTATTGTACAATGCTATTAGCAGAGCCGCCGAATGCTGCGAGCCCATGAACCTAGGTCAGAGTAGGAGATTCGGCCGTTCCGTCGTCTCGTCATGTGGTCTTCATCTCTGGCCTGCTCACACGTATGTTTAGCTTAGCAGAGCAGATCAAGTATTTGGGCGGTGTGGTCTATCGTTACCACCGAGAGAAGTCAGCGACTCTCTTGAAGTCGTTCGCTGTTGAATGATGTTAGCTCCAGTCGACAGAAGGGGATCCAATTTCAAGCTTACCATACGAACCCATCGCGTAGCAATCTCCACTTTCTCTTTTGACCTCAGCTTCAGGTAGCCATCCGCGAATCTTCTCAAGTCTGTTATGACTGCTAGGATGCGTACTCAAGAACTGCGGTGGGGCTCCCTTCTCCTCTTCCTGCATTCTTGACCAGAGACCCATTGCCGCGCTCGGGTCATAGCAGCTCTCGGCCATCATCAGGAGACCAATGTAGTCTGCTTCTTGTTCCTGAGCTCGCGAACCTGGCAAGCTGAATGCGAGCTGAGTGACCATGCGTCCTATGCCCAAGTCGACTCCTAAGACGGCATATCCTATGGTCGTGAGGCCCATGAGGACGAATGACTGAGACATTCGTTCGGCGGCGTGGTGTGCCACATTGTGTGCGATCTCGTGGCCCAGGACAGCAGCAAGGCCGTCATCTCCTTGGCAGATGTCCAGAATGCCGCGGAAAACGAATACTTTTCCCCCAGGTATCACGAAGGCGTTCTTCATGTCATCGTTAATGACAAAGATCTCCCACTTCTCACTTTCCAGTCCAGAGTGCGGCACCAGTCTATCGAGCACACGCTGAACTTGTCGGTGCTCTTTCGAGTACGGCGGCATGATCTTGCCCTGGAACTCCTGCATCGTCTGCGCGTACATTTGCTCTCCCATCTGAGCTTCTGTTTCGGCGCTGACGATGTTGAAACGTCGCCGGCCAGACACCTGGACTGTCTCCAGGTTGTATGTGTAGACGCCTCCTACGACCACCGCGATTCCTCCTATTTCATAGTAGAACGTTGGCCTTGCTGCCCATCTTTTGAAGAGACCAGAGGTGGAGTTGAAGCGCTGGTAGTTGAAGGCCTGCCGCCGGTAGCCACGCTTCTGCTGTGATCGCTGCCATGTCTTTTGCCAGTCTATCCTTCTCCTAGGCGTCGCATCAAGTTGGGTAAAGAGTCGGGAACCTTGATGGATGGGCGATCGATATGCGAAGGGCGATGCGCGGCCGGCGGTTTTGAAGCTTCGGGTGGTGGAGCGAAAGGCTGGGCGGAAGGCCAGGACGATGCGTCTTGCGAACATGATGGGATGGTTTTCGGCGCGAATCTGGGTCATCGAGATATCATGGTTGGAACAGTAGCGACGCCGAATAATTGGAGAATGTAGAGGTGGTTACACGAAGTCGGCGGCTGGAATCTGGGCGAAGCTCGAAGACTTCACGTTCTTCTCCGTTGCAAACAACATTACTACGACACGCGAGATTGCTCTTGTTTGCTAAATCACGGAAGCCCAGGGAGCAAGACAGCAGGAAGATGAACGTCATTTGGTGCAAATGTGGATATCGTGATGCAAACTCCTCCTACTTCATCGGGATCTGTCATGCTGAATATGGAAGCATCTGGCTTCGGTATCTTCACCAGCCTTGATATCCCAGCGACCTGCTCATGGTAAAGCTGTTACCCTGAGAGTGTAGCAGTGCTGGCGATATCGCACAAGAAGAAGCGCTCATGTCTCCCACGTCATCCTCGCCGATTCCACAGGCCGCGCCGTGGATCGGTCATCTTGACCTGACCACCCGTCGATGTCGTGGCCCTCATCACTGCTGCCGTCTTGCTCTCCAGGTCTGCGAGATCCACCTCTTCCAATCTTGCTCTTATCCATCGGTCCACGGCCTGCCCAAAGACTCCCTAATTGACACGGTAACGCTGCGAGCGTGCGAGAATGGGAGGAGAAGTCTTCCACCATGCATTGACGGTGTAAGTCATGTCGCCCCAACTCACAACCAGCGTGATATCGAGTCGATTGTCATGTAGAGGCAGAGTCTTGGGACATCTCGGATTGACGGTCGAATACTGGCCGGCAGATCATCGGCAACTTCCGTCGGCCTGGGGTTTCAACTTCGACTTCACCTCCTTCTTCAACGCAACATCAAGTCTAGACGCAGGCATCTCTCAGACACTGCGCTCCGCACCGAGGTCCACGATCCCCGACAATGCCGCGGAGAGTAGCAACAAGTACATGCAGGACGACAAAGTCAAATCACAGCCAACCAAAAGCAGCCGCGCGTGCGAGAATCTTCCTCATTCATGCGTACCGAAGCCCGAAGGATCTATCTGCTCTCTCGTCCGACTGAACATCCTGGAGGCCATGGTTATGCTCGTCGGACTATTGCTACCTGACTTTCATCGACAAGGGCGGGTCTCGAAAGTCTCCTTGAAAATGAGGCAGTGACCAGCGCCATGCCGACTTCCACGACAGAGCCTCTGTTGACCTTGCTTGAGCTCAACGCCACGCAGCGGATAGACCCTCGTTTTGGCACAATGCATCCGCTGGTATTCTCGATGGCCCGTGCAGTTCTTTCTCAGGCTGCATATCAGCGCGGCTCCACCGCATCCCGCTAGACAACGCCAGCACGGGCGGCTGAAGATGTGTCCGCTTCTCTACGAATCCGTAGTCTTGGATGCTGTTCTCTACATGTAAGTTGCAAGATGCTTACCACCTTACTGCTCGCTTTCCTGTCTGTAGTAGCGTGGGCTATCGCGAGACGATCTAATGGAGCACCGCGGAAAGATGGCAAGAGACTACCGTAGGCCAAACGATCACTCGAAGCCGGTATACTACCACTGACTTCATTCGTTCAGGAAAGCTCCGAAGTCATTGCCAATCATTGGCTACACAGCCAGACTACTTCAACCACGATACAAACTCCTCGATTATCTTGCGCGGCTTCAGTCGTCCAGGGGCGTGAAGACTTTCGAAATTCCATCGCCTTTCGTGCCACCGACTGTGCTTATCAATGATCCGGCCTGCCTAGAGTATGTATTTCGAGAGCATGAACTCTTCGCGAAGGGAAGCTTCTTTCGCAGCCGGATGCACGATCTGTTTGGTTCGTCTGTTGTCACGGTATACTCGAGTCTGTGCGCTTGGCTAATTCTATTTTTCAAAGGCGATGGCATTCTCAATGCCTCTGGTCCGTTGTGGCAGAGTCAGCGCAAAGCTGGTGTCAACTTTCTGAGCAGTGCCAACGTTACTCGCTTCTCAAGTGAGACCTTGCCTCCGTTGATGGAAGCCATGCACGAGCGACTCACTACAGCTGCTATAATACATGAGATGGTCGACCTGCAAGAACTTCTCTTAGACTTGATGTCCAAATTCTTCGGCCTCGTTGCCTACGACACTGTGCCAGGTGCTGATCAAGTACGTGCATTCGATGAGGCATCTGCTTGGACAGACGCTCGTTTCACGAACCCGTTGTGGCAGTTCTACGAGTTGTTCTTCGGGCAGCCGTTACAAAGGGCCCTGGAGATTGTCAAGAAGTTCGGCCACGAAGTGGTGATCAAGGCTGCTGAGAAGACACGAACTCCGGGCCATCAAAGCCTGCTCGACTTGTTGCTCGCAAGACTACCGGACAAGGAAACCGTTGCCGATGCAGCCACCACGTTCATGTCGGCTGGCCGGGATACCACTGCACAGGCAATGACATGGACGGTGTATGAGCTAAGCAAATCACCGAAAGTCTTGAGTACGCTTTTGACGTCGCTGGAACCGCACTCCATCACGAGAGACAGTAGCACTCGAAGCCCTCTCAGAACTATTGGCTTACATCCCAGGTATATCAAAGCAGTCTTCGCCGAAGCTCTCCGCCTGAATCCCTCTGTCCCCTTGAACATGCGGGAGACAGCCAGGAGATGCAGGCTCCCAGACGGAACTGTCCTACAGGCTGGAACAATTGTCGCGTGGGCATCCTACGCAATGGCTCGATCTTCAGCTATTTGGGGCGAAGACGCCCAGGACTTCAGGCCGGAGAGATGGCTCTCTTCCGATGAGAACGGCAATTCCACTTTCGTACCTCGGAGCGCCAGCGAATATCCTGTATTTCATGGCGGCTCGCGAGTTTGCATCGGCAAGAGTATGGCTGAAGCTGTTGGCTGTCAGGTTTTGGCCGAGTTGGTGTTGAACTGGGAATTTGAGCTTGTGGACAAGGAGACGAGGAAACACGCTGGAGAGTCACTGACGGCGCCAATGGATGGAGGATTACTCGTTCGACCTCGACGACGTGTCTGGACCGACACCAAGGCTTGATAGCTCGGATAGGGTCGCCAATGGTTGAATCCCTTGGGATCTACGACCTCAAAGCTATGAACCAATGCATCTCCCCGACCAGCTTGTTATGTGTTCTGCTCCCGTGCTTGAATTCCCAGCCTTCGCAACTCGCACCGCTCTCCTCAATCAACCCCAAGATCTCCTCGGCCGTCCTGGTCCGCAGACAGCTCACAATGCCATCCACCACGACAATGAACGGAACCACGGGCAAGATATAAACAAGGAACAACATCAACGGATCCCGCCAGAAGTACCAAGGAGCAACAACCCAAAGCACCGGACCGAGCATACACACCATGGATATCTCGCCCAGCGTTCGGCCTTGTAGTTCGAAGATACCGATTCCGGCGCAGTCAGGCGAGCTCAGAGCGTTCCGCAAGACCTTTTGGGCGATGGCTTGATCCAAGTGGTGGAGCGCCAGAAAGAAGAGGCGGAAGGTCTTTTGCCTTTGGAGACTGTCGTGGTCGACTTTCCCCGACGAGTGACACGCCATGTTGGCTAGAGTGGTAGACGACGGTGGCTCGGTAGCATCGACTGGCGTGGCGATATAGAGGATATGCGGACTCGAAGAGGAATGTCCCCGCCAAGCAGAGAGATGCGGTTCGATGTCCGTGAGAACAAATTTGGCCGCCAGCCCTTTAGCACCTCTTTTGAACTCCTTCTCGATGAAAGGCGTCGGTCCCCCAGCCCCAGCACAAAAGTCAACGAACGTGTAGTCTCGGCATCGGACTCCAAGTACCTGTGCGAGCGTGCCGGCGACCAAAGACGCAGGAGAGTGTTCCTGCAGAGGGGCGAGGTTGAGCGTCCAGAGGAGGGTCAGGCATTCTTGCACTCGTTCGCGGATCCAGTCGGGCAGCCATGGCTGGTCGTTGATTTCGACGAGATGGTATCTTGGGAACGTCGACATGGCTGCTGCCACTGCAGCTGAAATGGAGATGGAGAGTAAGAAGGCCTCGTACGGAAGAGAACACGTAAAGGTATCGGAGGATCATGCTCGGATTCCATAATAGGTAACTTCTCGGGGTGATGATCAGCAGGCTGCAGGAAGGCCTGCTTTGCCTGAAATACAATCATTGGCTGGGTCAGGATCTTGTGCGGTACGCATACTATACTTCCTTGAGGTGCGTAACGAGGCGGGCTTATACCCGTGGCTTCAGGTTGACTGCTGCTGTGTGACCCGATCGGTGACACCGTGAACCTTGCGACATGTGCTTAAATGATACCGCGGTAGTGGGTTTGTGTGAATCTTCGTCAGGCACGTTCAGCTCCTGGTTGTACACTTTTCCCTGGGGAGTTGGTGCTGCAGTTGAATCTTGATGTCTCCCGTTTGTTGCAATGACCTCTCTAGACACCGTTGACATCCGAGTGGTGGGCTTGGGGGTACAATATCCAGAGAATCGAATCAGTCCCGACGATCTTGACGACTTGATCGATCGCCATTATCCGGATTCGAAGACGTATGTATATGAGTTGACGCCGATCATGAAGTTGAGAAGCATAGCTAATCATGTCAAAACAAAGTCTGAAGAAGCTCTCCATCATCAATCGTTCAACAAAGATAAACTCAAGACCCGCCATACTTCAGACCGCCGACGAGATTCTAAATCGAAAATCACCTCCCTCAATAGCAGAGCTCGACAAAGTGTTCCTGAGCGAAGGCGTGAAACTCTCAGTCACTGCCTGCCAACAGGCCCTCAAGAACTGGGGAGGAGATGCCGTCGAGATAACGCACATGGTCTCGGTGACATGCACCAACACAGCAAACCCAGGATACGACCATTACGTCGCCGAAGAGCTGGGGTTGTCGCATTATGTCGAGCGGACGCTACTTCATGGCGTTGGCTGCTCAGGGGGGATTCTGGCTATGAGGACAGCGTGCACCCAGGCGTTGGCAGCTACGGCGGTGGGCAGGAAGGCTCGGGTGCTTGTTCTCGCCTGCGAGCTTTGCAGTTTGTTCGGCCGGTCGGAGCTTGAGAGTGCGTATCAAGAGCGAAAGACAAGTGTAGGCGTGTGTTTGTTTAGTGACTGTGCTTCGGCGTGCATCATCAGCAATGGCATTGGGGAAGGAGAGAAAGGTCGGAGATTCCATTCCGCAGAACGCCAATCCACACTTCGAGTCCGAGGATGGCATGGGGAGAGTATCAAGCATTCGAGCGAAGATCTGGGCTTTCACGCTGATCCATGTGGTAAGTCAGAGCATGTTGCTGCATGGTATTGCGCAGGTGAACTCACCAATGAGACCAGGCTGGAAATTCGTCCTCTCTCCACGAGTGCCAGGTATCGCCGCCAAAGCCATCAGACCGGCGTACCAATCGCTTGTCGCTGCTATTCCATCGATACACACATTGGCTGGAGGGTTACCTTCAACGAAAGATTTCAACTGGGCTGTTCACCCAGGCGGTTCGTAAGTCCAGTCGATCTGATGATTTTTACCGCGTTTAAAATAAGTATGCCTCATCTCCTGACAATACTTCAGATCAATCCTCGCAGGCGTTCAAGACGCTTTAGACCTTCGAGTCCAGGATATGGCTGCGAGTTGGCATGTGTACCTCGAGAACGGCAACAGCTCGAGTGCCACGATTCTCAGCGTATTGAATCAGTTATGGCAGAAGAGTAGCCAGGACAGTCCACTGTCAACAGAGCCGGAGTGCAAGGCTCGGGTGGTAATGGCACCATAGCGGTCGCGTTTGGACCTGGGATGCATGTGGATATGATGGTGCTGGAATTTGTGGAGGGCGAAACGTCGTGCGGAGAACATGGATAGGCAGATGAGGGTTGTGTCAGTATGAAGGCATTTGTAAGAAGAGAATGACTGGATGCTAGCAGGCTGGCATACTAAGGTCATGCATTAGAGCAATTCAAATCCAGACTCCAAGTCATCCTTCAGACGCCATTCGCGCAGGACATTGAGATAGTCCTCGACGCCACGACCCCAAAGCCCAAGCTTGGCCATGGCAGCCTTCTTCTCCGGCGAAAGCTTATCCTTGAGGAACTCCATCGCTCCCTCGCCATTCGACAGCGAGGGTGTGCAACCAACGGCCGCAGCGAAGCAATTCTTCATCGAAGCAATACGGTTGCCCCAGTCCGCCTCGGCGGCTTCAGTCGGGTGGATCGAGACCGACTTCTTCGAAGATGTGGTGATCAGATGAGCGACATGTTCACTCATTCGTTCGAGGCCGTACGTCGCGGCTGCAGAGATGGTAGACTGGCTGGGACCATGCCAGAAGATGTTGGGGAAGCCCCGACTGATGACTCCGTGTAGGGTGCCCATTCCAGATTCACTATCCCATTTGGTCTTCATCGCGAGGCCGTCCAGGCCGGTGATCTTCATGCCGACTTTCGCGTCAGGGGAGCCAAAAGGAGACTCGAAGCCTGTGGCGAAGATGATGACATCCACCGGGTATTCTTCACCTGCGGCGAAGACGCCTTTCTCGGTGAGTCTATCGACGCCTTTGCCGTTGGTGTCAATAACGTGTACATTCGGGCGGTTGAGGGTTGGGAGATAGTCATCCGAGCTGTAAGACTCGTCAGCGACATGATCGTTTAAGAGAGCAATCAATATAAGACACAGACTTACAACAGAGACCTCTTGCACCACGTTGGGAACCACGCCTTGACCTTTTCAGCGAGCGCCGGATCCTCGATCGTCTTGTCGACAGTTGTATGAACACTCTTGAGAATGGGAATATCCACAACGTTCAGATGCTGCACCCAAGCAGGGATCTCTTCGGGCTTGATATCCCTTGGTGTGCCCAGGTTTGCACAGAATCCAAGGAGCCGGGAGTGTGTATCTTGAAGATAGTCGTTATCTGGGCGTTTCGGATCGTAGGTGGCGAACGCATTGAGGTGTTTGTTACGCTCGGCTTGCCATCCCGGTTTGTAGGCAATCTTCTCCCATTCTATAGGATGCGTCAGGGGGTTGGGTTTCGACACCACTCTAGCCGGCGTGCGCTGAAACATGTATACATCTTGCGCATACTTGGCAAGCTCGACAATAGCTTGGCCACCAGATGCTGCATTTCCGATCAATGCGACTCTCTTTCCAGTAAGGTTCCACAGCTGTTGGTCCTCTGGTGAGCCTCCAGTGTAGCCATAGTCCCATCGAGACGCCAGGAATAGGCGACCAGCGTATTTGTCGAAGCCCTGTCAAGATAGAAAGTGGTCAGCAATGTGGTTGCCAGGAGCTCAGTAAATCGATACTTACCTCAAGATTCGGCATCTTGGGAACACTCTGTAAGCCAGCTGCAATGACGATGTACTTTGCATGGATGGTGAGAGACTTCTCAGCGCCGCCCTTTGGCTTTTGCAGCAGAGCTACATCCCACTGCTTCGCATCGGCGTCCCAATTCGCAGTCTGTGACCTAAGGCAAAGGCATCAGAGTCGGCATATCAAGATGCACGTAGAGAACATGACCTCTTTCCGGTCCCATACGTACCAGGTCTGCCACATGGCGCGGTCTTGAAGGTGGTATCTTGACGCAATCCGTTCATAGTGGCGACGGAACTCCCATCCCGGAGCGTACTTCTTTGAAGGCATGTAATTCATCTCTTCCAGCATGGGCATGTAACAGTACGACTCTGTATCGCACGCGGCGCCGGGATAGCGGTTCCAATACCACGCACCTCCGTATCCTGCTGCAAGATCCACAAAGAGGATCTCTTCAGCGCTCATGCCAGCCTTGATGCATTGCACAGCCTGCAGAATGCCAGCTGCACCGGCACCGAGAATCATAAGCTTGATTGAGCCACCATCGGAGACAGGCTCGTGGATGGGAGTTCCTGCAGTAACCCAAGGGTCTTCCCAGAACTTTTTCAACTTCTCCGTGGTGCTAACGTTGGAGTATTGGGCGAGGCCATCCGGACGAAGGCGCTTCTGGCGCTCTTCTTTGAAGCGCTGCTGGAAGTAGGCGAGTTCATCGAGTTGTTGCTGAGTGATCTCCCCGAAAGGATTCGTCACCTCTGCCGCAGTGGAATCGTAAGTGGTGACCTCAGACATGGCGTGGTACTAGAGAAACGCAACTTTCAATAATACAGTCAACGATATGAGACAAAGGTTGTAGTCTCATAAAACGTGAGTAGTAGTGCAGACGCTTCCATAGGCACTTTTGAATCGGCGGTCGGCCATTGTGATTCCATCAGGGGGGCAGGACTCCATGCGGGGCCAACTGGAATATGATGGAGACGTCGGCGGCATTGCAGTTGCTCCGTCGTTCCCTAAGAGCAGTGGCCGCAGTCTTGGTGGTGTTGTTCTAGAAAGACTGGGGCGGAGAGGGGATGCATGTTACGCCGCGGAGGAACCTCGCAGAGCTTCGTATGTTGGAATTGAGAAGGCCAGGCAGACAGCGCTTTTGGACAGGGAATAGTAGGCTCAAGGTAGGCGTTTTCACTGTTCTCAGGATTCCTGGTTGTCTGTTGTTAACATTGCTCTCCTGTTGGGTGTCTTCTTTCCACAATCCTTTCAAGCCGAAGCTGTCTTTTCGAGATCCGTTTGACGACGCCGTCACGTCGGACTGAACTGCCACCAGGGCATCCTTCTGACATATACGTTACGCAGAAGTAACAGCTATAGGGACATACCGTCATCGCGACCCGATGGTCTGAATTGCGCTGCTCCCTCGCTCTGCTCCTGGTCCTTCTGCTCTGAGCGTTCGGCTCGAAGCACGCCGCTGATCACCATCACCTGCAAGCGGTCCAAGTAGTTTGAGCCGTAGTATTTGGCTCAGTCGATTCAATTATTCGGAAGAGATGACAGATGGATGGACTCGATGGGGTTCGTGTTCCATAAGAGAGTGTGAGGTCGCCTTCTCAAGTCAACAGCGCCGAATCCGGGAGAAAGTTTTGCCGATCCGAAGGGGCAAGGTTCTTTCAAGGAAGGCAGGGTGGCAACTCTTTTCTTCCACAGTCATCACCAAGTACCTGCCAACAGCCAAGATGGGTACCGGGTGCTTCACGACAATAGCTCTTACGAGACAACAATCACCATTCATTGGCTCTGGACAAAAGGTCTGCCGCAGACTCGCATTGCGTGATGCTGTGGATCCACGACAAGGCCTTGGTTCCCCCTTGGCACTGCGCAAAGAACCAAAGTCGTGCAGGTAGGTGACGAGTGCCATGTGGAAAATTATGCATCTACTCTTGTCCATGGAACGGTCCTCTAACACCAGCCTATAAGTCGGCATGTTGCAGAAGATTAACAAAAACTCACCTGCGCATGCATTGGACCTACGATTTCTTCTACCGATGAGATGGAAACTTTAACGAAAGTGAGGAACTGGCTTATACCCAAGAATCAGAAGTCGGAAGATGGTCGTGATCAATGGCCATCTCGAATAGCTTTCCTCGTGGCCGCCGTTGGAGGAGCTGTTGGCCAGGGTAATATCATCAGATACCCTTCGCAAGTCTTCAATAACATCGGCCTGCAATGGTTTATTCCCTATCTGATCTCGATATTCATCCTCGCCATTCCAACGTTGATTCTGGAAGTCTCCATCGGGCAGGCATACCGTGGCGGCACAACGACCGCTTGGAACCGTGTGAATGGGAGACTTACTGGAGTGGGCTTCGCGTCCATGTTGGTGTCCATGACGGTCGTGGTGTACTTTGGCATTATATTGGTCTGGATTTCAATCTACTTCCGCCATTCGTTCACGAGTCCACTTCCATGGACTGGTAGGGTCGAGGAGTTCTACAACGAGCAAGTCTTACGGGCCGTTGCGCCAGAACAGGGCGACTTCTACTATACATATCCGGGCACATCTTTGATCGGAGAGACTGTCGGGTAAGCGTGCCCTGCGCTGTCAGAACGACCAAGCAGCTAACACCATTTTGCGCAGGTGGTCTGCATTTGTGTGGCTCTGCGTTTGGCTCTGCATGTGCAATGGTGTCGCCATGACTGGTCGAGCAGCTTACGTGACGATGGGAATTCCCACCGTCATGACCATCATACTGCTTGGCCGATGTACATCGCTGCCGAACGCTGTCGACGGTATTAAGCTGTACTTTGCTACCTGGAATGGCGATCAATTGGCGAGAGGTCAAATCTGGCAGTAAGTCTACCTTACTATTTCTTTGGCAAGGCTTAGTCTCTGATCAACGTTGGATAGAACAGCATGCGGCCAGGTTTTCTTCTCCACTGGTGTTGGATTCGGCTACTATACCGCATACGCTTCATACAACGCTAAATGGGCCAACGCAGTCCAAGACGCCGTGATCCTGGTCTGCTTCAACTCGTCCTTCGAGACGATCGCTGCATTTGCGGTCTTTGGAGTGGTCGGATACCTAGGCATCAATCCAGACAATACTCCTCGACTTGGGAGTTTCGAGATTGGGTTTTTGACTTACCCAGCCGCAATTATCGCAATGCCAGGAGCCAACTTCTGGGCAGTGCTCTTCTTCTTGACTTTGCTCCTCCTTGGTATTAGCTCGACCTACCCCATGCTCGACGTTGTGGCTACATTCATCTTGGACCGATGGGGACATAAAGTTTCACGGATGGCGGTGGCAACGTCACTGTGTGTCGTGACTTTCCTGGTATCCCTCATCTACTGCACAGAGTTCGGCTATTACCTTCTGGATGGTGTGGACCGGTGGATCAACAATCTCACATTAGTATTTGTCGTCTGGTGTGAGTGCTCCTTCTCTACCTCGGTGTACCGCTGGCGAGATGTGTTTCAGCAAACTGGAAGGCGTGCTTTCATCTCCTGGAACTTTGGTCTTTTCGGAGGTCAGATCATTGGCGTGGTCGTGGGTCACTGTGTTAGCCCCGAGGCTGGTGCTGGTACTGGATTCGGCATCTTTCTCGTCTTCACAAGCCTGGCAACGGCGATAGCCAAGACTCCTGACGCGGATGTCCCTACATTCTGGCATCGCAGTGACATGCTGAAGCGAATCTGGTTCCTTGGCTTCTACTCGGTAATTGGAGATGTGTGTGCAATGTTCAAACGCTTGCTGATCTAGTAGACAGGGCAACCAGCTACGCCGCGATCTCAACGCCATCGTCGCGACCGGCAAGAACTGGTCGATACCCGTCTTGTGGGCACCTCTTCTCCGCTACATCTCCGCTCCAATCCTCGCGAGTGTGTTCTCGTTCGCATACCCCGAGTTCTACACCCTGAGAAACGATCCTGTTTACATCTTTGGATTCGTTATCGCACACTTCGTCCTGGCTTGCACTGCTTTTGGTTTCCTCTTCCCAAGATACATGGACGTGTTTGTTCCGCCAGAAAACCGCGAGCTGGGGCATCACAAGTATGCTCCGAATGTCGTGCTCCCAGCATCGGGGGAAGATGATGTGGAAGCGGAGGAGGTTGAAGGGCGTGAATCGAAGTTGGTGGAAAAGTGAGGCGAAGATTGATAGGAACCATGTCAACGCCATAACAAAGATCAGGGTATCCTGGGGGTATCCCGACAAGCGTTGGCCTCACTGGAAGAGGAAGCCAGGCAAAAGCTGAAGACTTTCACATGCTTGCCAAGCCTTCGGCAAAACCCCGGCCGCGACAGAAGCTATATTTGTTTGCCTCGCGTCTCGCTCAGCTTCTTCTCCTTTTCTCTCCTCCAAGCCGTCCTAGTGCCAGCTGTTTTTGACCACACCTCTAAACCCATCAGACCACCAAAAGAAACTTCAACGGTATGCATCCGGAGCACGCCAACTCGAGGCGTCGGTTGCTACCAGGTGCCCGCCTTCCACCGATAGAGGGCACGCCGCTCGATGACACCACGTCGCCTTACACCACCGAGCAAGCCGACGGTCTTGCACCGCCGTCGCGATCTCTCCAAATCACATCTCCGACTGCACATCCTCGACACACGACCGTCATCTCGTCGCTGTTGAAGTGAGCGCGAGATCCTTGCGACAGTTCTCACCACATCGCCTCAGCTCCTATGTCGACACTTGTACCTTCCAGATGACCTGACAACGTCTGTCTGGCTTTAATTGAGGGTGCACCACTCGCAAGCACCATCATCAATCTCATCACCACCACCTGTCCCTCACCATACCCAACTTCTCGACGCGAATGGCTGTTGCCGTCTGGCCGGCTCCACCAGCGCCGAAGCACAGATTGAGCCGGAACACCTCGGACTCCAACATGCCTCCGAAGCTGCCACAGATGACTGCCAGTACCAGCTACAACAGCATCTCGACTGTCAGAGCTGTTGGCACATCAGATGACAGTCCTACCCACTGTATCTGCACGCAATGAACACGACTTCCCCGAATGACATGGCTTTGAGAATGAAGCCAGTAACGACCAAAACAATCAGCTCGAATCAGGCGACGGAGGCACCAGACCTCTCGTTCAGCAAGGCCAAGCCTCCCGTGACCCCATACTCCAGAGGTCCAGCAGAAGACGCTTCGTCCCACATCGCTCTCGTGCGTCTCCTGAGGTTCTTCGAACACTGGGACCGAAATGAACCCTTCGGCAAGTGGTGGAACAACGAATTCACTGAGCGTGAGCTCGAACTTCTCAGAATGCTCGAAGACCACAGACACAGCGATCACCAAGTCCTCTGGCGCATGCAGAGTCTGGCACTATACGAGGGCAAGTTTCTGACCGCACCCCGGCCATGGGACCATCATGAAATGGTTCGAGAGTTTGGTAACAATTGTGGCTGCACACCACAACGGCGGATAGACTTGGCGATGGCATGTTTCGATGAGAGGCTTGATCAGGCGACCTTTGGCTGGATCAAGCTCTGGTTCGCTATCGACGATCAAGAAGCCCAGGAGATTTCTGTTCACATGATCTTTCCTGATGCAACACCGAAGTGGATGGATTGGGGAATCGACTGTGGTTGACGAGACTTGTGTTGAGGGCGAACGGGAAGGGAAGAGAAGAAGCTGAGGTTAGTTGACGAAGGATGAGACAACGTCCCCAGTTCTCTTGGTCGGAAGCAGGTCAAACTTCTTTGTGCTACCTCACCATAAGGGGCTCATAGCTAAAGCGGCTGCAAAGGTGTCTCCACTGAAGCAAATCACACTCGTCCCCTCTTCCTCTTAGCCTGTTCAGCCATAATCAACTGCCCCGTAACGCCTCCGCTAAGCTGAAGTTGCCGTATCATCGTAGCTGGTATTCATGCTAGGCATCAGACATCACCGCATCCTCGCCGTCCATTTCGAAGCCACCTTCTCCAACAGGCCCCTCTTCGGTCGCCTCGTTCTCGTCCTTTCGCTCTTCGACCGGAGGAACCACACGGCGGCAGGTCGGGCAGTTGTCGAAATGCTTGAGCCACTGCTCGATGCACTCCTCGTGGTAGTAGGTATGGCCACAAGGCAACTCGACCAGGACAGCGCCATCATCGAACTTGTCCAGACAGACCTTGCAGTTGAGGGACTCGTCTGCCTCGTCTTGCTTGACGGTCTCGAAGAGCTTGCGTGGGAGTGAGGCAATGGTCGCGGCACTGGCTGGTCGGTTCTGAACGGCGGAGTTGGGATCCATCGCCTCTTCCCACTGCTGCCAGCGACCATCGTCATCATCGTGATCTCCCTCCTCATCAGACAGCATGTCATCGAACTCGCCAAAGCCCCACTCCCGCTCATCGAATTGCTCGAATGGATAGCCCAGCTCGCGACGACGGGGGTTGACGCGGCCGAGGAACTCGACAACGACGCCCATGTCGACCATGCCTGCCAGCATGAGGTTGGCCTGGACAAGTCAGTTATGTATCATGTTGAGAGTGCTGGAGGAAGGGTACCTGTAGCACCTGCTGTTGTTTGAGCAGATCGACGCCGACGCAGACAGGGCACAGAGGGAGTTGGTAGCTTGCAGGCAAGGGTGTGCCAATTGCTTGAGTTGGTGAGTTGTAGTTGGCGATCATGGCCTGCGTAGAAGAGTCAGTCCAGCTTTCGCCTCATCATGAACCAGCTGGGACTTACCTGCAGGTCATGGCCATGTGGAAGGAAACCGGACGAACAGCCTGCAATACAGCGGGTGTGCGGGTTGGAGATCCAGATGTCCTGGTCGAGGCGCCGCACAAAATCGCCGTTGGGCTTAGCATGGATCTGGAAGTCTTGGTGATTGACGATGTCGGCGAGCTTCACAGTCTCGCACTCATTGCCCTGCTGACCGCATGTACTGGGATGGTCATGAACAATCTGCTTGCCATAGATCTGGTAAGAGTGGGCAGTCGAGACGGTGCTGGAGTATTTCAGATGCACGAGGGTGACGTCCGTGATGTTAGCCAAGGCGTCACTGGTGATGGCGGAGATGGTGTACACTCGAGGCAGGACCTGAGTCTCGGTGGCGCTGGTGTCGTCAGACAGTGCTTCCTCGTCGCTCTCGCCGTCAGAGGCCGAATTGCTGGCCTCGCTCTCCGAATCAGACTCGGCGCCATCTCCCTCGTCATCAGCGCCCTCTCCATCCTCGTCACTGCCTTCCTCGTCTTCTTCGCCGCTGCCTTCGCCATCATCCTCATCGTAATCCTCCTCATCCTCGTCATCGTCCTCTTCGTAGCGCTCGACCTTCTGAATCAGTAAGAGATCTCCGACCTGCAGGCCGACCAGAGCCGCCGCCTGCTCATCTGTGAGTCCCTCGATGGTCGAAGCCATGGTGCTTCAACTCTCTGAATTGGCTGTATGGGCTAAAAAGGTGTCAGCGCTGTTCTTGTTTGAAGATCCGAAGTTCCAGTGGCGGTGCACGAAGGCGAAAGAGCGGATGGCAGTTGTGTCAGGTGTTGAAGCGGCAAGCTTGTGTCGGTTGGAAGACTTCGAGTGTCTCGACTAGCTCCCGCGATGTGCAGGGGTAGTCCCCGGACGCGAGTGAATTGAGGTGTGCTTACCTGCTGCTGCCGTGATGTTCGGAAGATGGTCGCAAAGTCGTGAATGCCGGTCAAAAGCAGCGATTTTGCAATGCAGCCGCAATTCTGGCCACCAGATTCACTGCACGGTGAGATTGGTCTGCACTGGCTGCCGTCTTGCCATGCGTGGTAGCGTCAAATGAACGGAAGGTGTGGTGGTGTCTTGGGTTTGTCGGGTTTCTCCCCTTGTATTTCAGTTTTCATGTGACCGGGTGTGCGAATTGCAGAACATATTAAACGTTGACCAAGAGGAAAAAGGTGGAAGGTGAAAGGTGCAAGAGGTGAAGTGAGGTAACTCATACTTAGCGAGAGCCTTACTGCCTGGCTCCTGGCTTCGCCGCGAAGGCAGCAGGAGCGACCCGCCAACATGTGACAACACCAGAAGCTTATCTTCTCCGCTTCCATCACAATGGCCTTCACAATGGCGTTTATCACATGACGCGCATACGCAGCCTTCAGCCTGTAACATTCGTGGTATTCAACGCCAGACTCCACGCTGTTCCGCGACCCCATGCCCGCTACCAATCGCCCCAAGTATCATCATCCTTCTTGGCCGTCGCACCAGCTCCACCCGAAGGCTTCATCGCGCTCGTGCCGAGTGTGGTAGGTTTCGCTTTCTGCTGCGCGACTGTTCCCGCTGCCGCAAAATCGTCCCAGAAATCCTTCTTTTCCTGAGGCGGTCCCGCAGGATCTTGGCCAAAGCTATCCCAGAAGTCCTTCTTTTCGGGTGCTGCTTTTCGTTGTCCGCCAGCTTGGCCTTGCTGTTGCTCTGGGTCGACAAACTTATTGAACTGCTCATTCAAGCCCTTGACGCCCTGTTGTGCGTAGGTGCCAAACTGCATGCTCGCTGCTCTTGCTTGCGCTGCAAGATCACCCTCTTGCAGATTCTTCATGCCAGGCTGAATATAGGCCTTGTTCACGTTCGCTGCTTGCTTTGAGACTGTGCTCGATAGCCAGCCGAAGCCTTTCGTAAGCGCTGCCATGGGGTCTTGCTGGAATTCGTTCGCAGAGGGGACGCTGGACGAGTTGTTTGTTGGCATTGGCGACGAACCGAACCCAGCGAACTTTCCGCCTTGCGAGGGTGGCAGGTCGTCAGGTCGAGAGGCGTTCTCCTCTCCCATCTTGGCGAAATAGGCCTCGTTTCGCGATTTTTGTGATGGTGAAGCTGTCCGCTGAGGCGGGGACTTGACATTTGACAGCGGCGTGTTTCTTCCGGAGTCAGAGGGCGTGGAAGTATTTTGAGCCGGTTGCTTCCTAGGTGCAGGTTTGCTCGACCCAGGCACGTATTCTGTCCCTTCGACCTTAGCTGTCAACCTCTCTTTCCACTCCTCACCCGCATCACTGTCATATCTTTCTGAGATGGTACAACTGTCGAAATCCCGCCCAATGAGTGTATTGCTGTTATGTGCGTTGAAGAACTCCTTCCAAGGCTTGTTTCCACCCAATTCCATGCGTTTGACCTCTCCTGTCTTGAAGGCGTCCATGGTAACGGACCGCACGAAGGAGATATGCACTCCCAGAGATCGATGTGTACCGGAACATGCTAAGCAGAAGAAGATACCGAACTTGGGAGATGCCTGCAGGACTCGTGTGATCAGTCGCTTATCACACGTACTGGACGCAGAGACTCCTTACCCATTGAGGACTTGGTGCTCCGCAGTCGACACATTTGTTATTCTCGTTGGTCTTGGAGATCTCGAGCAACTTGCTCCGAGTCTCCGGATCGACTTCCCACATCTTGCTCATCTTGACGGTGTTTATGGTAGTACTCGGGACGGTTTGGAGGGAGCTCTATCGCGGGGGCTGAGATGGGTCGCTCGAGGGGCGCTATGTCATGCTCGCATGTAGTGAGATGGCGTCGAATCGTCGGTTCTGTAATCAACCTGGAGATTGATTTGTTTGTCCTTGGATTGTGTATTGTTGCGGTGACGATGTTGCTGTTGTCTCGTGCCCGGACGTGGACCCTGCATCGCGTCAAGCGATGATCGATCCTTGCCAAGGAGGCCGAGGCTCTGCAACCTCACCTCATCGACCAACACCAACATCCCATCGATGCAGTGTCGCAGCAAAGCAAACTCATCATTTCGGGCACCTTTCTCTTCACTTTTCATATAGAGACGCTATCTGACCCGGCTTTTACCAACATGTACACGCCCTCGCCTGGTCATACCTCGTCCCGTCGAAACTCGCGGAGACACCGCGTATAGAAGACATCACGCCCAGGACCGTTCTTCTCGATCGCACACTGACAATTCGGACAATCTTTGATCCTCCCCTCCGACCTCAAGAACGCGACAACCCTCAGACTCAGCGCATCCTCCACCAAATGCCTCATGTTTCGCCAAGCGTATTCGCTGCAAGTGAGTCCCTCATGCCACGGTCGATCGCATACCGCGCAAGCCTGGCCTGCGCATGTTTTCCCACGGCATGTCCAAACATTCTGATAATCGATATCCATGTCCTCGAAGGGTAGAGCGACTTTCTTTGGCGACGGGCAGGGCGACTTTTCCTCGCTCCTCTCGCTCTCCTTGCTCTCCAGCAAGAAGTCCACCTTCTTCTGTCTTGTCAGCGTTTGATCTTCCTCTTGCCTCTGACTTGCCAAAGTCTCATGGACCCTGCCCTCCGCACACCCCTCCTCGAGGCACCACCTCCATCCAGGAGTTCTGCCCTTTACAACCCTTGTGTAGATCTTGAAGTACCTCTCTTGCGCCACAGGATATCCTGCCAGGTTCTTAGTCGCAAGCATCGGTTGGTCGCAATCGGGACATTGGAGATCTGGCGTGTAGCTGTTCCTGAGCCTGATGTGGATCCAATTGTTAAGGCACTCGTAGCACGTCCTGACCGGGTGCTCGCAGGCTTCAGTCGGCGGGTCGTGTGGGAATTCGTCGGCCGATTTCAACTCCGTGCAACAGATGCACTCCTTTGGTTTGGCCTGACGAAGCTGCAACCGAGTGACATGAGGTGCCATGGTGTATGTAGAGCGGGTGTTGGAGAATTTGAGGGTTTTCGAGTGGGTGTTGCGAAAGAGCAGTGTAAGCACTTGCCAGCTCGGTCGGTCGTGTTATATGCGGAGAGAAGCGGACATTAGAGACAAGAACCTTTGATGCAATGCAGCAGGTAAGATATTCATTCACTCATGGCACCTGCACAAAGAAGAGAATCGCATAGAACCTGGAACCTCACCCCTCACCTCTATCACCTCCTTTCACTTGTGAGAGTTGATCCACAGACTGGCCGCATCCGCTTGAAAGCTCACACATCCAGCGCCGCTCTGGCGTTACGCAATTTGCTCAGCACCGAGAACCTCGTCGCACAAGATTCCTGGACCCACATCCCCCAATATCAACATCAGACTTTGCGAGGGGTTGCCGAACGGCAACTTTCGACCTTGCGACTCGCTCGAGATACTCGCAAACAGCTGATTATAAACAAATTCTTTGGGAAGGACTATATCCACGAATGCCGGCGGAAGATCTCGGCAATCCCATCTCTACCTAAGTCGCTGCTTGGAAAACTGAGTTGATTTGAGCGCCCGCAAAAGCCTTCGACAGAAGCGCCAAGTTCGAACTATCTCTAAGTTTTCAACAAGGACCATGCTAGCGACAGCCAGCATGCCAAAATTCTCCAACGCCTTCGAATGGAGATTGACGGAGATGCAGGTCATGCCTTGAGGGGCTCACGTGGCTTCAAGCATGTGCGTGTCAAGTTCAGGGTTCTGACCCACGCAGAGAAGAAAGAGGGAGAGAACGAACGACGCGAGGAAGAGGATTACCAGCAAGAGACGGCAAAGCATGCGGAGGAAAATTCGCACGAGCCGGGCCTGCCAATACACACGACCCAACGAGAGGAGAAGCTGCACAAGAAGTCGTCCGAGACCAAAAACAACCAAGACGGCAAACAATCTGGAGACGAAGATCTTGAGACAGGCTGTTCCCGCGTCTGTCGACCAGAAGCACCAAGCTTGTCAGCTTGTTCCACAAGAATCACCATGATCGAGGCTCTCTACCCAAACAGATCGCAAATCTCTGGACGTCTATCCTCGATATTCCGCTTGAAGTGGCACTATCATCTCCGATACTTCTACGCCGTCTAAACAACTTGGTGTACGATCGGCAGCGCAGTCGCCTGTGGGATATCGGAGAGATGGCAGCTTTACACGTTCGAACTTCGAACGAGACTAGGAATGTAGCCCGCTGATTCGATGCTATTGCTTGTTGGGGCATCAACTGCCAAACGTCGTACGTCAAGATGTTATACGTACCTGCACTTCGACTGAAGTTTCAGGTCCGGGATGCACAGGGTGGAAACGACGCCCATCACATCATCGAGATCGGGTTCTCATGGTCAAACGATTCGACACACGAAGGCCGTGGTGTCGTCGACTTCATCAAGGGTGCCCAAGACCAAAAGACGAAGCTGACCCGCTACACATTCACTTCATCCTACGCCAATGCCGTACGTGGCCTGTGAATGTCGCTCGTCAGAAGCCCATGAAAGCACGTCTTGCAAAGCATGGTGCCAAAGTCATCAAAGTGCTCAAGCAGCTTATCGAGCCGACGGACGGCAATAACTCCATCGTCCTCGACGTATGCCCTTTCGACAGAGGCGTTGCTAAGGCACCAAAGAAGAAAGACTCAAAGCAAGAGGAGACCGCCGCTGTGCACTTTGACCCCGACCCAAACTTCCTTGCCATGGAAGTATTGCCGCCGGGTGGAAGCGGGTACCTCCTGGAGACAATGTTCAACCTGCAATACAACTTCTTCCGCCACAAGCACGGAGAGATGGAGATAATTGCAGGCAACATGCCACCGACGTCAGTCATGATGGCACAGCAACCTCCTCGCCCGATGACATCGATGCTCTTGCCACATACATACACATTTACAAATTTCGAGGAAGCAGCGACGCAGTTGGCATGGCACGCTGAGCAGTTCCAAAAGCAAGCGATCGCTCTGAAGCTTTTCAATTCAGTCCGACACAGCTGTTGTTCAAAGCTGGGCAAGTCCTGGTGGTCGCTTTACAGTTTGGCAAGTTCACACCCGCCTCGGCGACCAGGGCAATGAACTTCAATTCCACTTGCCCGATCTCGCGCGTGTCAAGCTCACATATATCGTGCCGACCAAAGACGGAGAAGACTTCGAGCGCGCCATTAGCGGTTTTGTGTCCCAGGGGCCGCGTGGGAATTTGCCCACTGCAGACGCATACATCATCATCGATTCTCATGCTTCAGACTCCAAAGTGGGCCGCGATGCGATGCACATCGATGCTATGGGGAAGCAAGTCCGCAAACCGCCAATCGACATGAAAGTACATGTCGAGAATGTCACCACGACATAGTTACGAATGGCTTGAGGCAGCGCTGATGCTGGGATGTTCGTTCACGTGTAGCGCCAAGACTTCAGTTGCATTTCTTATCATGACTCCGACTACCTAAAGGCTCTTCCTTCACATCCCACACACCCGCGCCTTTCCATGCTATACAAGAAGTGTATTGCCTAACAGTACAACGATGCGCGGCAGAGATAGGACGGAACTTCACAGCCATGCTCGGATGTCGACACCGCCTTCATCATCTGAGTCTTCGCTGAGCTGGCTACCTGTCTCGTCCACAGACTCTCCTGCATCGTCGCCTTCCTCCTCTCCATCCCTCTTCTCCCCCATGTGTGTCTCACCACCGCAAGCCGTGTCCTTCGTATCCTCGCTGATTTTGCCGGCGATCTCATCCGCGCGCTCTTCTGCGTGACCTCCCGCATCCTTCGAGCCCTTCTCCTCCAGCACAACTTTGCCACCAGCTATGTCCTTCTGATCCTCGCTCTCACCTGACAATGGCTTCGTACCGATCGTCTTCGACAACTTGACCTCTTTCACGAAGCCACGATGGAAGGGATTGAGCGCTTCGATCATGTGATCCGTGACTTCTGGAGATATCAGATGAGAAGCGGATAACACGACTCGAACAGCGTTAGAGTAGGACATGAAGTCCTTCGGGACAACCTCTTCCACCCATGGCCAAAGCTGGCCGACCACGGTCTGATAGTTCTTTGGCGCCAGCTGCTTCATGACCTCCTTCATGCCATACTTGTTGCCGCCCCACAGATTCACCTCGAAGAGTGTCTCGCCATTTTGAAGCATGACAAGTCGGGTGTTACGAGTGCTGATGGTGTGGTTCCAGATGAGTTTCTTGAGAGCGCCCGGAGTGCAAACAGCGATGTCGACTTGGTGGAGCAGATACGAGCTGCGGCCCTCGCGATGTGAGACATAGTCCCAGCTTCTTCGCTCGCCTTGACCTTCGCGGAAGACATCTGCACTGACGAGAATTCTGCCGTGCGTAGCAATCTGCTTGATGCTGCGGCAGGTCAGGTCAGCAAGAACCGTCGTTGGAGCAAGTACTATAATGAGAGGAGAGACAGTTTCTGCATCTGCGCGGATAGACGAGTTGCTTGGGTCGATGTTTTCATTGTCCTTGGAGATCCCCATCTGCTTTTCAACTTTTGCAATACCCTCGCTAGCTTCGATGGCAGTGCTCACAGCGACAGCAAGGAGAGCGACAGTCTCGCGGGATGGGGTCGAGTCTTTGACAATGAGACCTTCTTTGCCCTGACCCACAGCCACTTGCTCAGTGAAGTGCTTCATAACGATGATCTGATTCAGCGACGGATCCGGAATACCCATTGACGAAAGGGCTGTCGCGACAGAAGGATGCAAGTATGCGCTCCATGTGGTGTGAGGAGGCTTGACAGCAGCATGGCGTACAGCAAGCGCAAACTTCTTCAAGCTGGAGTTCTTGAATTGGCGAAAGCAACCCAAGCAGTCACTGATGCTGCAGACGTCATTCTTCAAGCCGATGTGATGTCCCGTCGAAATGATCTTCTCGGCATTCTTCTCTCCAACTTGCAGCGTAAGCCGCCAGAACAAACGCTCCATGCTGTTCATGTACACGGCGACTTGAGCAGCATCATAACCTTCCCATGCTGATACGAATTCGTTGGCTCGAATCTGCTGTTCAGTGAGTGCATGCGTACTTGTTTCGGTCTCCACAGGAGTGCTTTCGCCTCGAACTTCTGTTCGGGTCATCAGGACTGGGATCGACTCACCTGTGGTTGAGCGTGCAGTGCTGTATGCGGAATGTGGTGGAGTACTCTGCGCCATGACAGAGACAGCCGGTGGCCGGTCATGGAGCTGTTGCTCAGCAGCGAGCATAGTTGCAGTCTTGAGTCTGCTTTCTTTCACGAATGGCGACTCTTCGAAGATCCCAAAGAGATCACCTACCGTGACTTGGAGGTGCTCGAAGTCTCAGAAGATGTGTGTTTGTAGTTTGTGTGACAGCCGCTTTTTGCGGGTATAGTCCAATTTTTGCAGCGAAGCTGCGAGAAGCAATCTGATGAGACCGTCCGGTATGACTGAAGTCACTGGACCAAGCTGCAAGACAGGAACGCAAGTACGTGTTGTCCGCCTCTCGTCTGATGGTGTTTTGATCAGATGTTCAGTCTTGAGGAGGAGAAGGAAGTCGGAGCTTGCAAGCTCGAAAGTTTGTGGGTAAGGAGCCCGGACCATTTTCTTGGCACTAATATGTAGCAGGTTTGCCGAGCCCCTTTTCTTGCTCTCCTCCCCTCTTGAACATGATCGATATTCTGGTCGCAGCTAAAGATGTTCGAAAACGCGTGCTGCTGGTGATCGAGACTGACAATACAGTACAATAGAATGCATATAATGCTTCATCCACCCCAGAGTCGTGAAGGTTTGGGCATCCCGACAAAGGTATTTTTCGAGACCATGGGACCATTGGTGCACCCTCATGAGATACTCTATCTCGCCAGCGGATCACTGCAGATTGTCTAGTGCGGCAATCGAGATTAACCAACATCTACCTCCCCTTCTCATCATCGACCCATCCAACTAGCGAATCGTCAGCCCAGGATCAACTTCCAGCTCCCCAAATTGACAATGATCTTACCCTCCATCGACAGTCAAGATCTCACCAGAGACGTACAGACTAGCTCGGCTGGCCAGGAGTACTACAGAGCCCTTGAAATCGTCCGGAAGGCCCCATCTTCCGGCAGGAATACGCTCCAGTATGCTCGCTGCTCGCTTTTCATCTTTGATGAGGGCTTCGTTCATATCGGTATGGATGTACCCAGGTGCGATCCGAGGAATGTCAGCTTTCGACTGCAGGAGACGAAGAAGTTGACTTACAGCATTGACGTTGATACCCTGAGATGCCCACTGATTTGACAGAGCCTTTGTCAACTGTGCAACACCGCCCTTGGCACTGGCGTACGCAGGAACATTCAGTCCTCCTTGGAACGAAACGAGCGATGCGATGTTGATGATCGATCCACGGTGGGGGATACAGCTCGTTGGTGGGCCCTTCGGCGTCCGCTGAAGCATATACGCTCCAACATCTCTGCAGAGAGTGAAGACCGTGTTCAGATTGACTTGGAGGACCTTACTGAAATTTAGTCGAATCGAGCCGAATTATGAAGCACTACTGCTGACCTCATTCCAATCGACATCTGGGAACTCATGTGCTGGATGCCGCCGCTGGATGCCACCACAGTTGACTAGGATGTCTTTTTCGACGGCTTTGATCAGCGACCACCATGCAGCACTCCCGCGTTCGAGCAGCTCACATACCGATATCGTGACCATCGGCAAGGACACGTTTCGTCAGCCCTCCAACGTCCGATGCAGAGGCCAAGTCAGCAACATATATGACTGTTTTGCGGCCGAGCTTCTCGATGCTTTCTTTGGTCGACTGATTGGACTCGTCTCGCTGCACAAGTACGATATCGGCACCGGCTTCTGCTAAAGCTATTGCCAATGATTGGCCAATACCTCTTGTAGCGCCCGTCACAAGCGCTGTTCGTCCTTGTAACGAGAACAAGTCAATAACGGAAGACGACATGTCGATACGATGCGAAGGTTGAAGAGCGTTGCAGTCTCTACGATGGCATTGTCAATCTCCAATTCCTCATTCCGAAGTTTAGGCATCGGCATCTCGCGTTCTTCGCCTCTCGGGTTGTCTTGGTGCGAGCTGCAGCCGTGGTCGGGAAGATCTTTGGGGGTCACGAGCTATGCCTTGGGGGCAAATACGTCAGTGGCCCCATGGGGTCTCGTTGTCCCACCAAGAGCGGAGAACCCCATGGGAAACGCATGGATGCCACAAGGCGGTGGAGACGCATACGCTGTGTCGCAGCGCTCTTGAGGGTGACTTTCTGGTTCCCTTTCTTCCCTTTCCTCTTGCTGGCGTCCTTCTGTCCCAAGTGATTACCACCTTACAATGGCTGACGCAAAGAGCGTGACTGAGCAAGTCGAGGATTTTGAACTTGAGAATGCAAAACAACATCAAGAGGAGGAGACTCCACGCCCGCCATGCCTCCAGGGACTGTCCGGAGACGAGTTGAAGAAGCTGGGTGTCAAGACCACGCTGAAGCTCGACTTGATCGTCATGCCTGCTATGACAATCATGTACATTCTCAACTATCTTGGTGAGACAAGTAATTTCCCCTTTGCGTTGCCTGTGCTGATGTGGAAGTAGACCGACAGAACATAGCTGCGTCGAAGCTGGCCAACATCATGGTAGACCTGGACATGACAGTCACGCAATACAACACTTGCGTCTCTGTCCTCTTCGCTGGATACAGTATGCTGCCACCTATCTCGTCTATTCACAACGAGAGCCAGGCTAATGGTGACCAGTCTTGATGCAGGTACCATCGAACCTTCTCGTCAGCAAGATCAAGTACCCCGGCATATACATCTGTGCAGCCGTGGCTCTCTGGGGCGCCGTGTCTGCATGCACTGCTGCGGTCAACAGCTTCGGGAGCCTTGTGGCATGTCGCTTCCTCTTGGGTTTTGTGGAAGCTGTATTCTTTCCCGGAGCATTCTTCTACTTGAGTATGTTTTACAATCGAAGACAGATTGCATTCAGGACGGCAATCCTTTACAGTGGTAGCCAGTTGGGCAATGCTTTTGGCACGTTGTTTGCCATTGGCATCTTGGAGCTGGACGGAGCCCATGGCTTGGAGGGTTGGAGATGGTAAGAAGACACTCTTTCTCCATGAGGCCTCCAGCTGACCTGTAACAGGTTGTTCCTGATCGAAGGCGTGTTGACTGTTGGTCTTGCTATCATCTTCGCATTCTACCTCCCGAACTCGCCAAGGAGCATCATGGGGTTCAATGAGGTCGAACACGAATGGCTTCGCTGGAACTACGAGAGCGACCAAAAGCAGCAAGACGACTCTCACGAGATCACAGCCAAGCAAGGCTTCATGATGGCTGTGACAGACCCCAAGACGTGGCTCATGATGGGAACACTGTACGCCACATACACAGCAGCCGCTGTCAACAACTTCTTCCCGACAGTTGTTGGTGGTCTGGGCTTCTCTAGGAATGCCTCGTACGGTTTGACGGCAGTGAGTGCTTGCCGCGCTCAAGTTGCTTGGGTTGATGCTGATTGTCTCATGTTTAGCCACCATTCGTGCTCTGCGTCATCTGCATGCTCATCGTTGGCTTCGACAGTGATAAGGTCAGTCATGGCACGGAGGACTTGTTCGTTACCTCGCTGACATAAATCAACAGAGAAAAGAGCGTTACTTGCACATCGCCCTCCCACTCACCATCACGGTTGTTGCCAACATCATCGCAGTCTCAACCGTCAACGTCGCGGCTCGCTGTAAGCTCACACTACCTGACTGTTTTCTCACGGGAAGCTAACGAGTAGTTAGACGTTGCGATGATGTTGATGCCCGCTTCATTCTACTCATCATCTATCGTCCAGCTATCTTGGATATCCGGCAGCCTGTCACAACCAGCAGTCAAGCGCGCCGCATCCATCGCGCTGATCAACTGCATTTGCAACACTCCAAACAGTAAGTCCCAGCGCTCTCACAATGGGATTCAATAAAGAAAGGCTTTTTGACGAGTGTACACAGTCTGGACATCTTACTTGTACTATGACTCTCCGAGATACGTCGCGGCCTTCGGCGTCAATCTTGGAGCAGCAGTGGTTGCCATTGGCTTTGCAACCGCGACATTCGTCTATCTTAGGGGTCAGAACAGGAAGATGGATCAAGGGCGAGCTTTGGGAAAGAGCGGTCCGACGGCAGTACAGCAAGCGGCCGGCTTCCGCTATTTGTTGTAGTCACGCTGCAGACATGGCATGAGAGAGCAAAGATTGAAACTGCACGATGGAAAAGGACGAGCAGACACCGGCATTTCGATGTGACCCCCAAACATTGAGTGGGGAAGCCCCCAAATCTCCTCCCAGCTCAGCTCCACAGACTCCACAACCACCGACACGAGGTCGGCAAATGCAAGGGTAGGCTGGCAATTGACTTTCCATTCTTTGAGCTCGTTAATCTTCTCCAGTAATTCATCAGGAAGATTCTCATTCTGCCACAAGAAGCCTTGCATTCTGCTAGCCTTTGCACCCAAGAGGTCGATCTAAGCGTACAATGGCTAAAATCAAGCTTGTTGAGCACTTTCGAGTAAAGCCTCGATGGCTTTTCGTCAAGATCACCGATGAAGAAGGCAGGGTTGGATGGGGAGAGGGGACGTTGGAAGGACACAGTCTTGCTGTTGAAGGGGCTCTGAACGAGATCATCGTACGAATCGTGGGTTTGGAGGCAAAGTAAGTCGTCAGAATATCAATCACCACCTTACCAGTCCTGACATCTCTCCAGCAACATCGAACACATCTGGCAACTCATCTGGCGCCTAGGTTTCTACCGCGGCGGCCCAGTCTTCATGTCCGCGCTCTCCGGCATCGACATCGCGCTCTGGGATCTCAAAGCTCGACGACTGAACGTCCCGCTGTACGAACTCCTCGGTGGCCTGGTTCGACAGAAAGCACAAGTTTACTGCTGGATCGGCGGCGACAGACCGTCGGATATCGAAGCGGCTGCAAAGGCGAGGAAAGCGCAAGGTTTGACGTGTGTGAAGATGAATGCTACGGAGGATGTCAATTGGCTGGATATGCCTTCTGTGCTGGATTCGACGGTGGAGCGATTGAAGACGGTGAAGGCCCTAGGCCTGAACGCCGGGTTGGATTTTCATGGACGTCTGCACAAGCCGATGGCGAAGCAGCTTGCCAAAGCTTTGGAGCCTCATCAACCGCTCTTTATCGAAGAACCCATCTTGGTAGAGAACCCCGAAGCACTGAAGCAACTCTCAGGCATGACTTCGATCCCCATCGCCCTGGGAGAACGCCTTTACCACCGCTGGGACGCGAAGCGATTCCTCGAAGAAGGCCTCATCGACGTGCTACAACCCGACATCGCCCACGCAGGAGGTATCTCGGAGACTAAACGACTAGCCAATATGGCAGAGGCGTACGACGTTGCAATCGCACCTCACTGCCCACTGGGTCCCATCGCGTTCGCTGCTTCGCTACATGTCGGTCTCTCAACGCCAAACTTTGTGATTCTGGAGATGTCGTTGGGCATGCACTACAACACCGAAGCAGGAGACATCGATCTGAACTCCTACCTGAAGGATCAATCAGTCTTCGCCATCAAAGAAGGATACGTCGGTGCACCGACAGGACCTGGATTGGGGATCGAGCTCGACGAAGATTTGATTCGGAAGATCGCGGCTGAGACGGAGCCATGGCAGTGTAAGGAATTCTATGGACCGGATGGGTCTATAAGAGAGTGGTAGACGCAGCCGATGCTCCTTTTTAGTCCTTTATAACTCTAGCCCTACACACGCCACGAATCCTTTAGCCTCAATAAGCGTCGTAGATTGAGCTCGAAGGGGTATGCAGCTCGACGACACTACAAGCTTCGGCTTAAACGCAAAGGTTCTACATCCGCTATTGTTGATTTACCATAGCTATCGAGCGCAGCTCCCAAAGTACAAAACTCAAAGGTCTCTCTCACCAGGCAAACAACCTCCCCAACCCATCTCTCACCCCATCCACCACCTCATCCCCAACCATGACGACCACCAACAATTCCCCCCTCTACACAGCAATCCGCACCACCGCCCTCGCCTACATAACCTCCTTCACAACCGCCCGCACCCAAAACAACGCCACCCTCCTCAACACCGTCTGCGCCCCCGACTGCAAACGCTTCTACTCGCCCATCTCGCTACAATCCCTGCTCCCGCCTTCCTTCTCCGCCGGCGAATCCAACACCCACTACGCCATCCGCATGCAAGTCGAACTCGACACAACCTCCCAATCCCGCGAGACCGACATCCGGCAGGTCGTGGTGGATGAGGGGCAGAGGAAGGCGGTTGTCAATGCGGTGTTGTGGAATAAAAGTGTGAAAACCGGGAGGGAGTATGCGTTTGAGTTTGCGTTTTTCTTTGATTTGGATGGGGAGGGGAGGCTGGTGGAGAGGGTGCAGGTTTTTGCAGATCCGGGCATGGCGAAGAGGTTTTTTGAGGGGAATGAAGAGGTGGGGGAGAGTGTGAAGGATTGAGAGGGGTTGTGCGTTTGAAAGGTGTCGGGGTTTCTTTGGTTTGGATGCGGAAGGGAAGTTGGTCGAGGGAGTGGAAGGTTGGTGAGGGGCTTGTGGGGAGTGTTATCGAATGAGAGGTATGAGAATTTCGTGAGTCTGAGTGGCGACGTGAAGAAAAAGGAGTCTCTCCCATTCACTGCTCTAGAAGCCAACTTACTGACGAAGCACAACAAGAGAAGATCTGCATCTCACCGCTCCCTCAAAATCTCACTCAAACTAATCTCCTCCTCCCCCTTCCTACCCTCATCCACCTCCGGCAAATGGTACCCATACTCCTGCCCAAACCTCGAATCCCGCTTCGACTGCACATCCACAGCCATAGTCTTATATATACTCCCCGTATCCAACCTCGGCGCCGTACTCCCCAAGACAATACCAGCACCCCCTTCCTCCGCCTTCGTGAGCTCCGTGTCGCTAGACCCCGACCCGGACTTCCTGTGATAGTGGAAAGGCTGCGAGAACCAAGCGCGAGTAGGTTTGGAGATATCTGCCGCGAGGTTTTGGGTCGAGCCGGGAGGGCAATATTTGGCTTCGGAGAAGTTTCCATAGGCGCGGGATTGGGTTGGGCGCGTGGGTTCTTCGCGGCGGATGAGGCGTCGGGTTTGGGATTTGGTGATGTTTTGAGTATTCGTGGGTGTTTCGGGTCCAGATTTTCCACGCAGGATTCGACAGCCTTGCACGAAGAGGTTTCGGAGAGCTGGGAGACAGCAGCAGATGACTGCGGTGTTGGCTTCGATTTCGGTCCATAGCCAGCCGTTTAGGGAGCCCCAGGTCGGATCGTCGGTGCTTTTGGCGCTGTGGTAGAGCATGGCCATCCGCACGATTGAGGCGGCAATCGTGAAGAACCCTAGGACGAAGATGGCGCCTACGCTGATTTTGGTGCTGAGCTTGGTGTGAAGCTTCGAGATTTCGAACAATGGGAGGCAGAAGACCAGTAGCATCATCTTAGCAACGACGTTTTTGTTCCCTCGAACAGAAATCGCACTCACCACAATGTCCATCAGCGTGTTGAACCCAGCATGCGCGTACCAAAACCCCATGTTGCTGATACAATACCCGGCCACTCTGCGATCCCAGTTCCTTTTGACGGGCACACACTGGAACACCGTGCCTACCGTAAAGGCCACCGTCCCGGCCGCGATGATTGCCGAATTCGCGTTCACCACCTTCGCGAACCCCTTCGACTGCCCAAAAATCCTCAAATACAAAAAACAAAAATTCAACTTCGTAAACCCGCCAATAATCTTATAGCAAATCTGATACAGATAAAAGTAAAACATGGCTTTGCTGAACTCGGACCGGGGCAGGTCCGCGCGGTGTTTGCCGAAGCCGTGGGTGGCGGAGGCGTAGAGGAAGGCGGTTTGGATGGCGAGGGTGAGGTAGGCGAGGAGGGCCATGAGGTCGTCCCAGCCGCGTTGGTGGGTGCGCCATCGGTAGAGGAAGCGGGCGAGGAAGAAGCCCGTGGAGAGGAAGAGGAAGACGGTGGAGACGATGATGAGGACGGGGGTTTTGTTGGGGATTGTGGTGGTCCAGAGGGAGGGGTTTGTGGTGGGTGGTGGTGTTGTGGACATGTTTGCGGAGAGGGTCGTGTAGGCTCTTTGCTGGGCTTTGGCTTGACGTTCCAGTGGTGTTTTCAAGGCTCGTCGACGGGGTTTGGTCAGCCATGACAAGTCAAGAGATATAGGCAATCGTGTGACGGTCTTCACGACTGCGAACATGACAGCCTGACGCCTGGCAAACACGTCGGAAACCGATGTGTTTGCCATGGCTGGCCGCTCGTCAACGCCGTGAGGTGCGGCATACGGTATTCACGATCGACTGTGTGAAAGAGTCAGGTCAAGAGATCTGCTTGTACACGAAGCTGCCAGCATTGCATGTCAGTCATGCCGCATAGACCGGACATTTGGCGTTTTCTAAAACCACGTGATGGTCTCGACTTGTAGGGTCGGTTGGATTGCCTGGGTGGGCTCGTTGAAGTCGGGATTCATCAACAAAGGTTTGTGGTCCCCTAGATGGAACTCGCTCGGGTGAGTGAGGTCTTCACGCTGGACCGGATTCTCGGGCCCGATCGCGTCCGCGTAGTCATCAGACAAGACTCTCTGCCCCATCCCCATTCAATGCCCACAGATTGGCCGCGAGCTTGCCTGTATTCGACAATTGTAGAGCAGAGGGTAATACTAGGATACCCTGGTATTCCGGGTCATCTCTGGCTTAGATTCAGAAAGGTCTGGGCACGTGTCCATGCAAGAAGTAAGCACGTCAACGTCGATTGACTTTGCTTGGCAAAGAGGACAAGAGATCGTAAAGATGCACGATGGTGCCTTTGATTGATTCCTCGTATTCGCTTCTGTCTTAAGATGAGCCTATCCAGTGATCAGTGAAACGTACCGGCCTCTGCCGACGAATGAGTAGCTCAAGTAGTGTGATGTTGAACCACTCACTGGTCGACACCTTGGACTCAATGACCTGAGCGGTCTGGACTCTGGTAACCTCGTCTATCGCCGACCACCACCCCGATAGCGATCCCCTCCTCTACCCCTACCTCTTCCACCACCGCGCATGCCACCTCTCGAGTTTCTGCCAAACAGCCCGAAATCCGCACCGCCATCCACCAGCCTGTCGCCATCCTCGAAGGTATATCTTCTCAGCTCACCCTCCGCGTAAGCCGCGGGGTCCGCGAATCGATCATCCCAGTCTCTGCTCTTCTCCTTCTCAAACTCCTCAAGTCGTCTATCCACCAACTCCCGCGGGACAGGCTGATAGTAGATCTTGGGCTTGTTCTGAGTGAAAGGGTACATGTCGTCGAGGGTATCGTTGTTTTTGCTCTGGGGCCGGTGATCTTCCTCAGGCGATCGTGGAGGTGCCGGTTGTTGGTACTGGGTTGACTGTCGGCGAGGTCCAGATGGAGCATTGGGCATGCCTTCACCAGCTCCGGTCGGTTGGCGTGCTGTGTTGCGTGCGTTACTTGCGCCAGCATCAGCTTCTCGTAGTGATGCGGTGACTGGACCGTCGGTGTCCAGGTCAGCGCTACTGTAGACGACCTCCCATCGGGTCAAGTCGCCTTTGCCGACTTCGGTATCAATCCAATCTCGCACCGAACTGTCTGGTATGTAGTCAACCCAAAGAGGCTTGCGCATTGGCTCGTCCGGCCATATCCGGTCGTGCAATGCCTGTCTGACTGCTTTAGCCGCCGAGGTGGTGTCGAAGAGTACAAACGCGTGCGTTCTAAGCTTGTCGAGGTGGAAGTCTTCGATGGCAACATCTCCCGTGGCTGACTTCTGAGCCAATGATAGTAAATGATCCCGCAGAAAGTTTGGCTGAAGAGGTCGTACAAGGTCCCGTATGTAGAGTGCTCGGGTAATTGGGTGCTTCGATGGTAGCGCATCATCCTCGGCAGTGTCGTGCTCTAGCTCGGTGTCTTGCATGCGGCTGTCGCCTGTAGCATCCTCTTGTTTAACGTCCATTACATCGTCGCTGCTGCCATATGGTAGGACCTTTGCCTGCGTCTCTGATTGCCCATCCACAGGTGCCGGCGCATCTGCCACCACATCCTCTGGTAGCTTCACCCCGACATCTTCTTCAGTCTTCATCTCCATAGTCTTGATCTTCTTATTGACGCTCTCCTCACTTAAGGGTGGCGTGGGACTGCGACGTTTGCGCTTGTTGCCCTGCTCTTCGGCATGCTCATCCACCTCATCCTGCTGTAAGCTTTCGGCAACTGGCTCGTCTTTCGCATCGCTTGGCTCCTGCTTCGCTGGTTGCTCTGCTTCCTCTTTCCCATTCTTCACGCTTTCATCTCCGTCGCCAGCACCATCATCCGCAATCAACGCATCAACGTAATTTTGCTTGACCTTTAGCCCGGTGGACGCGATGCCACGCTCTTTAACAAGGTCCTTAAGCTCCGCGACCTTGAGCTTGCTGTAATCCGTCATCGTGGGTTCGTGTTGTCGATGGCTAGCCCATACTCTGAGCTAATGTTTGATCAATGTCGATGCCGCGTTAATTGGTGAAGGTGATGCTTAGGTCGGGATGTCGTTTGCATGTGAAGGACTGGACCTCTCCCCACGAAAGTTGCTGTGAGGTGACGGAACGTCCCTGCGCTAGCGCGACATTATGTAAGCGACTGTTGGCATGGAGTCTGTACGGAGGACTATTTCTAAAATCGCAAGGTGCTTGTTGAATACCTCTCCAGCAAAACTGCCTTTGAGAAACGTATTCATATGGTCTTCGGGAAGGTCTTTGATTATATTCATTGGATCTGTGGAGAAAGGCGTGAAGACGTTAAACGGATGCCGGTCCTCGCCCATGGCTTCTTCTACAGCACTTTTCGTTCGACGACGACGGCAATTGAAGTCGACAAACGATCAGGGGAGAATCGAACCTGCCTTAAGGTTATCGAGTAAGTGGAGGCACGTTCTAATACCCAAAGCTCTTACACATAGCGACTTGCTCTGCTCTCGCGAAAGGGGAACGATCTCGGTCGCTGCGCACCATCTCAAGTTCTTCAGAATCCGACGGGAGACTGTCACTCTTCAAGGAAACGATGACCGTGAGTGTTCTTGCAGAGCATGGTCGAATTCGCCAGCTGGGTCGTGCAGTGCTTCGATGCACAACCCGCTGGCCGACGTCATGGCCATCGCATGATGGCATCAATTGTCTTGATAGCCGCGATAACCGAGAAGAAGCGGTCAGATAATGGACGATAGCGACAACCCGGTCTGCGCTGTCCACGGCCTCATCTATCAGACGGGGAGTTGCCGCACGAGCATGTACGTGATTCGTCCACCCAGAGACCAGGTCCCCATCGTGGTGTTGGTGTTGCTCGCTTCGTCGATTGCGTGTCTCCAACACTGTTGTCCATGTCGTGCCACCACCTTCTCCGACGGATAATAATGATAGCTCACCTACGTCAAACAACCAACGACGCCCACATCATCAGTATAGTAGACCTGTAACACGGACACCTGCAGTCGACTCGCAGGTGAACAGCGGGAACATACCTCGGACGTACTTCTCGAAAAGATAGATTGACCTGTTAAATGCAATGTCGGGCAAAGCAGGTAGGTGTGATCTTCCGCATGAACGTACGTCAAAATGCACTGCGAATAGAGTGCATCCTCGTGGCGTCTATCAGGCGCCCACGTGGTTCATCAAAGGCCTTGTTGTGTTTTGGCGCAACCATCCAAAAGAGGGTGTAGTTGACTGGGGTGTAGCGACAACGCATCCCTTGGAGAAGGGCATGTGATCCACTTTCGCGAACGGAAGGAGAGCTGAAAAATGTTCGACTCGTGGCAAGTCGGCCTCACATCTTTGAATTATTCTCCATCTCTTTTTATGTGTGCTTCACTGGCGCAAAAGACAAGCTCAAAGCCATCTTTCACGCGGGGCAACCATGACAGAAGGCTTTCTTGTGATCACCATCGTCCCATGGTTCAGAGACTCGCCGAACCTGGAAAAGGTCGCCAACATCCCGGCCGTCGCGTGGGCGCCATGTTGTTCGCTTCAACAATTTGCATGGATCTTCGCGCCAGGTGTCTTCGTTTAAGCAGTGTCACGCAAACGCATTCGTCTTCTGCGCGTGGCCATCCTGGGCCGCACTCCGGCGCAAATCGGGATTTCTCTGCCGGAGGAGACGCACAGCAAGCCACACATCAGGGTGAAGAAGCGAAATGAAGTGTTGTCAGCATATGACGGGCGCTTGCGTAGGCGAGTCTTTTCCGGTCGAGAAGAGGGGAGTGAGTGAGTTTTGTAAACTGCTGTTGCAAGCTTGCAGCTGCAAGATCCTGGAAAGTCGTCAACTCAACGGCCGCCAATGCAAACCGCTTGCAGGTGACGTCTGCACAATGGCAGGAGTGGGTGTTATTTTTACACTTCCTGGCCAATGGGAGGGCGGCACTGTTGCGGCGAAAAGTGTACCTATTTCCTTGTCAGCCTCCTGAAAGTATGTATTTGTATATGCACGTCGAACAATGTCCGTGCAGTCAGCACGCGACGTGCGACAATCCATTCTGCGTGCCCGCATCTCAACATTGAACAGCACATCACAGACGTATTCAGTGAATTGTGGAGGATTCGGCATCCATGGAGCCAGACTCTCACAATCTTCTCCAAGCGAGCTCTAGCCCGGTCCGACATTCTTCAAGTCCCGACTCGCCGCGGCTTAATATCTTGTCAATTGATGTATAACCTGGTAAGGCTCGAAGAGAGAGCGAGCGGCCAATCCGGCAGCGTGGGCTCTCAACGTCGCGGCGAGTATGTTTCAGCCCGGCGGCAAGCGTTGGCGATGTTAGACGCGGCGGGTGTTCGCTTGCGGCCTGAAAGCGTTCGCTCGACGGTCAAGTACAGTTTGACGGATCCTGGAGTGTGGCGCCGATCGATAGTGGTGGAGTCGGCGGCGGCGTCAGGGACCTGTCAAATCCAACCACGCTAGCCGGATTGACGCCGGTGCAGATTCTGAAGCTGGAGGGTTGCTCGACCAGGAACGAGGGCGGTGATTCCGCTTGAGGCAGCACGGTGGGACTTGTTCGCCAGCTCGAGTGGGTGGTCTCATCATCATCCTGGCAGGGCAGGGCAGGGCTGCCACGAGGGATGCGCGGTGCAATGGCTGCCGAAGAAAACGTGGCTTGTGGCACTCGGCCGTCAAAACGCTCGTCAACGGGACGGAGCAGCAGCGCTGGTGGGCGGCGGGTATGCAGTGTCGCGCAGACGCAGGCCTGTGAGCGGTCCGCGTGAGAGTCGTCGTGCGTCCTGCTGCCGTGCGTGTCTGCAGCATCAACAACGCGGGCGTCGACGAATGGCAGCGCGGAGGTGACACGGCGCAAGGAGGCGATGGCGAAGCGTCGTCGCCATTGTTGCAGCAGCGGCGGACGCACCCCAATGCTTCCAGATGCCCACGCTCACACGCCTCTTGGCCAGCGAATCCGCTGAGCGGTCATGAAGACCGATGAGGGCGCCTTGCAGGGATGGGAGCTGTTGTCTCTATTCTTCGCCCCTCGTTAGCTCCAGGCAGGCAGGCCTTTGTGAGCAAGCCCGGTAGACGCAGACGGCTGCTCAGTGCTCTTCGTGGAGCGCTCCACGCCGACAGGGATGGGCCACGCCAGGGCTGGGAGGGAAAATTCGTCGTCGTGGTGGATACGAGGGCATGGCGCAAGCGAGGCGGTTGATATCGTGCAGGCCGGGTGTGATTGATCATTGAGTAGTCGTCGCTGGGGGAGGCGAGCGCTCGTGTCTTGTTGTTTTGTTGATGCTGCTGCTGCTAGCCGGGGACGGGACTGGCTAATGCTCACGAGACTCGCTGCCGGCGCCGGTCGAAGTGAGTGAGGCCTTTGATTAACATTAGCCCCTGCTCAGTGCGCTGGATTGGGTGCTGGCGGCCCTCACTACAGTCAAACCTGGATAACGCAATATTCCGTAGGAACATAACCTCTTTAACGCTATACTTTCAGCTTCAACTTCTAAAATTCGGTGTGAACCTCTTACCTGCCTATATTGCCTTAACCTGATCAATTTATTGGCTAAACCAGGTATCAAAAAGATGCCTTCAGACCGCAAGACACCTGGCCTTTCAGTCTCTCAAAGGAAGGCCCTTCGTCAATATGCACAACAACACCCTCAGCTAACTCAAAAACAACTCCAGCAGTGGTTCTTGAACGAATTCCAGCGCAGTAT